AAGGTCAAATTCAAGGTCAAAGGACGGGGAACTGAAAAAGTGTCACTAAATATTGTCTGATTTTCAAAATTTTGGCACCAAAATGTAGCGCGTGCAAAGTTCTAGCCGCACATCGAAAACCATTTTCATCAAGGTCAAACTTCAAGGTCAAATTCAAGGTCAAAGGACGGGGAACTGAAAAAGTGCCACTAAATATTGTCTGATCTTCAAAATTTTGGCACCAAAATGTAGCGCGTGCAAAGTTCTAGCCGCACATCGAAAACCATTTTCAACAAGGTCAAACTTCAAGGTCAAATTCAAGGTCAAAGGACGGGGAACTGAAAAAGTGCCACTAGATATTGTCCGATCTTCAAAATTTTGGCACCAAAATGTAGCGCGTGCAAAGTTCTAGCCGCACATCGAAAACCATTTTCATCAAGGTCAAACTTCAAGGTCAAATTCAAGGTCAAAGGACGGGGAACTGTAAAAGTGCCACTAAATATTGTCCGATTTTCAAAATTTTGGCACCAAAATGTAGCGCGTGCAAAGTTCTAGCCGCACATCGAAAACCATTTTCATCAAGGACAAACTTTAAGGTCAAATTCAAGGTCAAAGGACGGGGAACTTTAAAAATGCTACGTCACCAGCGACTTTTCCAGCGACGAGCACCGATTTTAGCCAAAACCGCGTCCAAGGTCAAGTGGACCATGAGGATCACGAAAATCGAACCCATTCACCCCTAAACCTTGACCTTCAAGGTCAAATTCAAGGTCAAAGGACGGGGAACTGAAAAAGTGTCACTAAATATTGTCCGATTTTCAAAAATTTGGCACCAAAATGTAGCGCGTGCAAAGTTCTAGCCGCACATCGAAAACCATTTTCATCAAGGTCAAACTTCAAGGTCGAATTCAAGGTCAAAGGACGGGGAACTGAAAAAGTGCCACTAAATATTGTCCGATTTTCAAAATTTTGGCACCAAAATGTAGCGCGTGCAAAGTTCTAGCCGCACATCCATCGAAAACCATTTTCATCAAGGTCAAACTTCAAGGTCAAATTCAAGGTCAAAGGACGGGGAACTGAAAAAGTGCCACTAAATATTGTCCGATTATCAAAATTTTGGCACCAAAATGTAGCGCGTGCAAAGTTCTAGCCGCACATCGAAAACCATTTTCATCAAGGTCAAACTTCAAGGTCAAATGCAAGGTCAAAGGACGGGGAACTGAAAAAGTGCCACTAAATATTGTCCGATTTTCAAAATTTTGGCACCAAAATGTAGCGCGTGCAAAGTTCTAGCCGCACATCGAAAACCATTTTCATCAAGGACAAACTTCAAGGTCAAATTCAAGGTCAAAGGACGGGGAACTTTAAAAATGCTACGTCACCAGCGACTTTTCCAGCGACGAGCACCGATTTTAGCCAAAACCTCGTCCAAAGTCAAGTGGACCATGAGGATCACGAAAATCGAACCCATTCACCCCTAAACCTTGACCTTCAAGGTCAAATTCAAGGTCAAAGGACGGGGAACTGAAAAAGTGCCACTAGATATTGTCCGATCTTCAAAATTTTGGCACCAAAATGTAGCGCGTGCAAAGTTCTAGCCGCACATCGAAAACCATTTTCATCAAGGTTTGCACGCGCTACATTTTGGTGCCAAAGTTTTGAAAATCGGACAATATTTAGTGGCACTTTTACAGTTCCCCGTCCTTTGACCTTGAATTTGACCTTGAAGTTTGACCTTGATGAAAATAGTTTTCGATGTGCGGCTAGAACTTTGCACGCGCTACATTTTGGTGCCAAAATTTTGAAAATCGGACAATATTTAGTGGCACTTTTTCAGTTCCCCGTATTTTGACCTTGAATTTGACCTTGAAGGTCAAGGTTTAGGGGTGAATGGGTTCGATTTTCGTGATCCTCATGGTCCATTTGACCTTGGACGAGGTTTTGGCTAAAATCGGTGCTCGTCGATGGTAAAGTCGCTGGTGACGTAGCATTTTTAAAGTTCCCCGTCCTTTGACCTTGAATTTGACCTTGAAGTTTGACCTTGATGAAAATGGTTTTCGATGTGCGGCTAGAACTTTGCACGCGCTACATTTTGGTGCCAAAATTTTGAAGATCGGACAATATCTAGTGGCACTTTTTCAGTTCCCCGTCCTTTGACCTTGAATTTGACCTTGAAGTTTGACCTTGATGAAAATGGTTTTCGATGTGCGGCTAGAGCTTTGCACGCGCTAGATTTTGGTGCCAAAATTTTGAAGATCGGACAATATTTAGTGGCACTTTTTCAGTTCCCCGTCCTTTGACCTTGAATTTGACCTTGAAGTTTGACCTTGATGAAAATGGTTTTCGATGTGCGGCTAGAAATTTGCACGCGCTACATTTTGGTGCCAAAATTTTGAAGATCGGACAATATCTAGTGGCACTTTTTCAGTTCCCCGTCCTTAGACCTTGAAATTGACCTTGAAGTTTGACCTTGATGAAAATGGTTTTCGATGTGCGGCTAGAACTTTGCACGCGCTACATTTTGGTGCCAAAATTTTAAAAATCGGACAATATTTAGTGGCACTTTTTCAGTTCCCCGTCCTTTGACCTTGAATTTGACCTTGAAGTTTGACCTTGATGAAAATGGTTTTCGATGTGCGGCTAGAACTTTGCACGCGCTACATTTTGGTGCCAAAATTTTGAAAATCGGACAATATTTAGTGGCACTTTTTCAGTTCCCCGTCCTTTGACCTTGAATTTGACCTTGAAGTTTGACGTTGATGAAAATGGTTTTCGATGTGCGGCTGGAACTTTGCACGCGCTACATTTTGGTGCCAAAATTTTGAAGATCGGACAATATCTAGTGGCACTTTTTCAGTTCCCCGTCCTTTGACCTTGAATTTGACCTTGAAGTTTGACCTTGATGAAAATGGTTTTCGATGTGGGGCTAGAACTTTGCACGCGCTACATTTTGGTGCCAAAATTTTGAAAATCGGACAATATCTAGTGGCACTTTTTCAGTTCCCCGTCCTTTGACCTTGAATTTGACCTTGAAGTTTGACCTTGATGAAAATGGTTTTCGATGTGCGGCTAGAACTTTGCACGCGCTACATTTTGGTGCCAAAATTTTGAAGATCGGACAATATCTAGTGGCCCTTTTTCAGTTCCCTGTCCTTTGACCTTGAATTTGACCTTGAAGTTTGACCTTGATGAAAATGGTTTTCGATGTGCGGCTAGAAATTTGCACGCGCTACATTTTGGTGCCAAAATTTTGAAAATCGGACAATATTTAGTGGCACTTTTTCAGTTCCCCGTCCTTTGACCTTGAATTTGACCTTAAAGTTTGACCTTGATGAAAATGGTTTTCGATGTGCGGCTAGAACTTTGCACGCGCTACATTTTGGTGCCAAAATTTTGAAAATCGGACAATATTTAGTGGCACTTTTTCAGTTCCCCGTCCTTTGACCTTGAATTTGACCTTGAAGTTTGACCTTGATGAAAATGGTTTTCGATGTGCGGCTAGAACTTTGCACGCGCTACATTTTGGTGCCAAAATTTTGAAAATCGGACAATATTTAGTGGCACTTTTTCAGTTCCCCGTCCTTTGACCTTGAATTTGACCTTGAAGTTTGACCTTGATGAAAATGGTTTTCGATGTGCGGCTAGAACTTTGCACGCGCTACATTTTGGTGCCAAAATTTTGAAAATCAGACAATATCTAGTGGCACTTTTTCAGTTCCCCGTCCTTTGACCTTGAATTTGACCTTGAAGTTTGACCTTGATGAAAATGGTTTTCGATGTGGGGCTAGAACTTTGCACGCGCTACATTTTGGTGCCAAAATTTTGAAAATCGGACAATATCTAGTGGCACTTTTTCAGTTCCCCGTCCTTTGACCTTGAATTTGACCTTGAAGTTTGACCTTGATGAAAATGGTTTTCGATGTGCGGCTAGAACTTTGTACGCGCTACATTTTGGTGCCAAAATTTTGAAAATCGGACAATATTTAGTGGCACTTTTTCAGTTCCCCGTCCTTTGACCTTGAATTTGACCTTGAAGGTCACGGTTTAGGGGTGAATGGGTTCGATTTTCGTGATCCTCATGGTCCAATTGACCTTGGACGAGGTTTTGGCTAAAATCGGTGCTCGTCGCTGGAAAAGTCGCTGGCGACGTCGCCAACTTCACGGACATACAAAAACGCAGCTGTTGTGCTGTGACGCATCTGATAACGATAGAGGAAAGGACATTTCAGCGAGCTATGTCTGGCTGAAGTGACAAGGGTCAAACATAAGACACAGAAGAGAGACATGGGCAGATACAAATGTCAGGAAATATGAGCTCTTGCGAATAATTGTAAAGGCTACCAACATGGTAACCTGCAGTTTGAGCAGAATTCTGAATCAAATTGTTCAACAATCCATGAGTCAAGCACGGTGACAAGCAACTAACTAGAAAAATACATCATAAGACGAAGGCAATGATGACCTTGCTTAGTCGAAACGAAAATACCAGCTCCTTAAGTATGAAAGAACTCAGCTCTAAACAAGCAATGAAAATAACCAACTCACAGTGTAACAGCCACCCAGCTCGAGCTCGACACCAAATCCCAGTCCCTCCCCTGCCCACCCAGACGGCTGCGGTGACACGGTGTAGTTACCGACGACCGCCGCCCACCGCCCCAGTCAGCCACCCAGCTGCGGTAACTCGACACCGCAGTAATCCGAGTCGCCGATACCGGGGAGGGGCGCAGTGGGACCGCTCGACCCGACTCCGTTCGACCTGCGCTCCGACCCAGTAACGGGTGTCAAATCGGGGGCAAATGGGTGACTTGGCTGCAGCGAGACGTGAATGACTGAATATCCACTTATATTTTAGAGACATTCTGTAGACTAGCTCCTTCACCATGAAGCTTCGGAACGATCATTCCCGAAAGCTCATATTTCCTTTATGCATGCAATCCATGCCGATTGTTTGCGTTGACGTGTGCCCTCCACCGTCTCTCAGCGGAACTCTCCCGTGCTCGTACCCTTTCTCCCGTGCTTACCTTTTCGCAGTGGGCTCCCTCCCACCCGGGCGGGCAGGCGCACATGTAGTCGGGGAACTGGTCGAAGCAGGTGCCGCCGTTCTGACACGGCGACGGCAGACACTCGTTGACGTTGTTCTCACACCGCTCGCCGTCGTACCTGAACAAAGGGAGAGAACATTAGTTTATGAAATGAAACTTTTTTAGACATGGGCATTGCGAATCACACTTCATATGGATCACCTACATTTCGTGCGTAGGATGAGAAAAAGAGGACAGAAGGAAAGAAAAAAGACAGGGACGAAGCGAGAGCACGCAGTACTATATATATAGTCATATACATATCCTGTAAACGTTGCACATTGATTACGAGAATGTCTTACCGCTTGTAAGTGATTCATCACGTCACATGACTTTGTCATGATTCACATCTCACGCCAGCATGGTGATTAAACCGAATGTATGTCATGTCAAATGTAGCGACTTACATCCGCCTTGCGTTATTTCCGTCAAGTTATGCACCACGGTGCCGTTCGTCCCATTCAGACACACTGGAGATCACATTCTTCCTCACGTGTGCTGTGTCACGACACAAAGCATCGTCTACCCGGAACAGTGCCACCTAACAACACGTACATGCTCATGCGTACTCATGCCTATGTGTTGAGACATCAAATACCCTCGCGAGAACAGTGACCTTTGTTCAGCCACGGCCGCCCTAAATGCACTGATAAGTGATACATCAATCTCATTCATTTTCTATATGACACATGTCAAGTTTGCTCATGAAGCCAGATAATGCTATCGCACACCCCGCCAGCCCCTGGAATTTGTGTGAAGCCACGAGCAGCTATGATCACGCACACGCCACTCCTCGATCAATGCTCATACTGAAGAAGTGATTCAGACTCAACTTGAGCGCTGACCAGAATCTGAAATCGATGACCTGGGTAGGCTCGAACAGAGGTGAGCCAGTAGCTTAGCATTAGCTACCTGGACTGAAGTAAAAACGGCTAGCGCACAACTGGGATAGGAAAGGGAAAGAAGAAGAGGTAGGAAAAAAAACGGAGAGAAGCGGGAGGAAGCAAGGGAGAGAGGGAGAGAGAGAGAGAGAGGGAGAGAGAGAGGGAGAGAGAGAAAAAAAGCGACTGAGGAGCAGGAAGTAGTTTGAATGAAGCGTGTCCAGCCGGTTTGGGCCCGTGCACACCCGATCACGCGTGACCGTTCACCGTGCACACGCACTGCACGCCCTCCGTGCAGTCAATAGTCACGGAAGTGGCGCACGTGGCAATGATTGCCATCTCACGGAGGCAGGAGGCTTGGCAGTGGCACGGCTCCGTTCTGCGCTCTGCAGTGCTGAGACATGGACGTCCCACACCAGCGAGGGATGAGAGAGCGAGAAAGAGTGGAGGGAGGAGGGAAAGAGGACGGGAGGATGAGAAAGAAAGAGAGAAAGAATGAGGACGAGAGAGATGAAGTAAAAACGTGACACCAAAGTCGTGATGGCACCGACTGGTTGACCATGAGCTGCATACTCGAGTCTGGGACAGAAGCTGAAATGCTGTTGATCAGGGCCACGGCCATCCAAGCTGAAAGTACATACTCAGGCTGGATCAGGTACTTTCGGTACCTGGCCGGTTTTTACGTAGGTACCTCGTGCCGCGGCAGTCGCAGATGAAGCCGTTGTCCTTGTCGATACACTCTCCCTCGTGCAGACAGGGCTGCTCCATGACGGCACAGTCGTCCACCGGCTCCTCGCAGAACGTGCCCGTAAAACCTGTAACACACAGCCGGAGGGAGAGGCTGCTGAAACGATCGGGCAGAGTCCATGAAACCTGTTACAAGGCAGTGACAGATGGGGATGACGTATAGATTGCAGAGCGAGAACTGCAGTTTGTGGTCGGAAGTATTCATAATGGGTAGGACCTGGCAAGTACCGTGAAGGTCACTTGGCGGTCAGCTCAAGTCACACAAGTGTTCGACTTTATTCAATGAAGTCTTCAAGGGTCGGTATAGTCGACGTTGTCGAAGAGTTTCACCTAGATTTTGCTCTTCAGCAAAAAGAGCCGGAAGAGGAAGGAGTCACTGGATATCCCGGTCTCTGTGTGTGCGGCTCGGACAATACCCCCTGACCCCGTGAAGGCTGAGGGAGGAAGACTGATCGCTGCCGCATCGCTGACCGGTTTACCGGTGTACGGTAAACATACACAGCGGCTCGGTGCGCGGTTGATAACCTGCAGATAGCACACAGACTAGACGAGCATGAAGGAAGCCGATGGAGAATGCGGATCCGTTAGGTAAAGCGAATGCCGACGATGCGTGCTTTTTATCTTGCATAGCGCTGGCATCTTCTGCGTAAGGCTTGTATTATGTAACGGTAAGAGAGCCGACAGTGAAGAGTGCGTTACATAACAAACACTGACCATCTCCGCTCATACAATCAATATACCACACTATCAAACAAACATGTCCTGTGTCCGGAGTGCCTCAGAGCTGAATAAAATGCTCATTGGAGAGTGAACACTGAACAGTCATGTACATGGCTCTCTGACTCTAAGAGATAACTCCAAAAGTTTCATGAATCGTTCGAACTCAGCGGGAAAAAAGCTTGTCTTGTCAGTTGACCAGCCTTTAACAGCCACCATCACTCTGGCACGGACCATGCCGTATAAATCGGCAGTTACTGCCTTTTGCACATAAACAAGCCACGTGGATAATCGCGTGCCTTCATCGCGTCTGGCAGCACGCATCAGTGGCCGTGGGTGTCGGAGCACAACTCCGACCGGCGCTCACTCACGCCCCGGCACCGAGAATAGCGACCATAGTGGGCATGCACCGCCTGCACGGCAGGACAGACATCTCGGAGTCCGCCAGCCGCCAGGTACGGAGTTTCGGCGGCCACGACAGCAGGTGACAGGCTCTGATGCCTAGGAGGCGGCCGGCTGATGAAAGCCCCACTGATAGCTTCGAAGCTGCAGAGCTTCAGAAGCCATGCGCCGAAGCCCGAAGGTCGGGGTCGGGGATGGAGGATATTTTTATGTGAAGTCCGACATGTGAGAGACGGACGAGCAAGGGTCGTTGGATATACCTATGGAGGGCGGTATTTCCACAGAATCAAGCTTCGCAGATGGTAACTACTCGACACTTCGTGATTTGTGATAGTACTGGCTGCATCTGCATGACATAATGTTCAAATCATTCGCACTTGCTAATCACGTTGGCAAACGAATCCGTACATCGAGCTCCGTTGCCGAAAACAGCATCCACAATCGCAGTCTTAACAGCATACAATAGACGCAAATGTGTTTACGGACCAACCAGTCAACCATCCCCCAGACGTCTGATCGTCGAGAGTCAGACATCTGATCCACCCGCGGCCGCCGTCACCCGACCCATCGACCAGCCCTTATAGAGTCAATAGCCGGGAGAAAATCGACCCTGAACGGCCGGTAATGGAACACCTTCATCGACCCATACATCAGTCTTATATGAGTCATGAGTCATGTCTTGGTGGTACTGCATCCGCGGGGTGCCAACACGAAGAAGAAAACAGCAGACTGACGCAGCGGAATAAGCCGCCAGGCATGATGAGAACGCATCTCGGCGGTCCGCTGAAAAGGCTCGTCATCGAGGCTGCTTGGCCCGAGAGGCGGTGTCTCACGAAGACGCTCGTCGCGGTGCCGCTCCGGCGCCGATCCGGGCCGGGGAGTAGCGCGGAGCGACGTGTCACTGCCGGGCCGGCGGCGGGCCATTCAGGTGTCATCGGGTAACGGTCAGCTCGGCCGCAGCCGCCGCCACTGCTGCGGTGTCGGAGCAAAAACGACGTGCGTGTACTCCGTGACCCGCCGCGGGCACCCCTCCTCCCTCTCTCCCTTCCCATCGCCGACCCGGACACAGTCTCAGGACTCACCAGTCACTCGGTGTGACCTCCCAGGGTCGCCAGCCCATCACGTGACCGCAGTCCGTTCACAGGCCACAGGTCACGTGTGACCGGGTCAGCCGTGTAACCACAGAGCGGACTGCGGTAACCGCCTGAGTCGTGGACGGCCGGCGGGCTGAGTGGTGACCGCGGCTGGTGCCCGAGTCGCCAGCCACTCGGTGGTCGACAACTGTGTGATTTGACCCGACAGAGTGCCGCCACAGGTAACGGGTTACCGCGCCCAATGCGGGGAGACCGAAACACCAGCCGGCCGCCACCGACCAGCAACGTGACCACTCGGCCACCGCCGCCACAGGAGAAACAATAGAGCTAAGACCGCCGACCGGTCACTTATATATGTAGCTACGAACTCGACTCTAAGTGACCGAAAGATTAACAGAGTGGCGAACAGATTCATCGATGGGAATGTGTCTTTCTAGGCTTCTTGATGACAATGGTCCAATGGAGCTGTCGACTGAAAGACGATATTCATTGTTCGTTGCCTAGCCCCATGAGGCGAATGCAATGTAGAAGGCGCAATCAGCGCCCCATTGCACACGATAAGCGTAAATATAACGGTGCACATGATCTGCAGTATTGGACACGTATCGGCAATTCGATGGCAAAGGGCGCCCGGTTTTATTACGCTCATAGCCATTCGGCGCGCACGGCTCCCTTTCGCTGGTGAGGCAATGTTCCGGCATTCCCAATGACTCTGACACTGACCCAAATAAGTACCGAGGTGGCGACGGCGACGACAACCACTGCACCGGTTAACGTAACCTATGCGATGTAATCCATGGCGCTGTTGTGGTTCTCGAGCCAGCGAGACGAAACGTCGCTAGCGATGAAGACGGTGAGATTTCACGGTATGTTTCCAGATAAAGCAACGTGCAATGACATCAAAGTAAGTGTGGGAGGGTGAAAAGTTTTGTATCATTCGAAAGGTTATATCTTTCCCAGACATGCGTACCTGGCGCAGGAAAGAAGTACCCCTCTCCCGTCCCCCACCAAGATGTGATCCTGATACAAATGTAGCATAATAATAGGTGAAACATAGGTCGAGACCTTGCATGAAATCAGCCCAATCTGCAGGACTTTACCGAAGAGGTATTTAAACAAAGACCTAATGTTTAATCAGACTATTGGTAAAGTAATAATGAATCAGTTCAGTCGTTATAGTTCCTTAATTGTTCCATTAATGACCAATTTGATGAGATAAGATTGTTGGCGATTATAGATAGGAAGTTGATTATGGCAGGAGCAATCAGCTTTATGCCATTTCATGGGTTATTGCGTCGGCTCGGCTTGCGTAAGAGGTTAATCGCTCTATCGAAACCACATGCTACCACAGGTTTTCTACCACATGCGTAAGCCGTAGGCCTTAACGATGCTTTATGAACCACCATTACTTATTCTTAGCATACATTTGTCTACATACGTCGTACGTACACATATCTGCCCAGAGGTGTTTAATGTGAAACATAGGTAGGTATGTACCATGTTTTCCGCAGCCTCGCTTACCCAGTTTTTATTGGCTTAGTGAGCGCTATATTTTCATCCTCTGACGAACAAGCGCGTGCTGCCGACTTTCGCGAAACTCACGGACTCGGGTACTATTTCATGAGTCACCGACGCCGGGCCGCAGGCAGCCGTATCGTTCACGGTGCGCTGGCGGCGAAAGCGCCCCAAACACACACGGTGTCTCCCTGCGTACACACTGGGTTTGTCATTGGTGTAACCAGTACCGTGACTATAATGCTCCTAGCCACGGAGGCTCCGACGTTTTCTGGTCATAGCACGATGACTTTTCCGTTCCTACGAACTGTGCCCTGCCTCATTAGTGACTTGTTAGTTTCTCCGTGAAGCACACCGCCCCTCTGCAGGGCCCTGGGGCACCTGTGCACGGCTAACGATCACCCTGCCTATGTCTCCGGTGTCATATTGGGCTCGTTTGCACCGTACCGTGTCGAGTCGCGGTATGTTGTGTCACACCTTCACAGTCACAGCGCCGGAAACACAAACAAGACAGACAGGTGGACAAATGTCCTTCCCTGCACGAAAACACACCCGATAGCCCCTCGCCTCGCCCACTCGTTGCAACTCCACCCAACCTTTAAATAGCAAAAGCGTGGAGCCCGCTCGAGGCTCACCAAAGGGTGCTCGAGTGGGACCAAAAGAGATCAAAACGTTGGATGGATGACTAGCTGATGAGTTTGTCAGTAACGAAAAAGCCCGTGATGCGGCACCAATCCTTGACCAGAGCGGGGACACAGGCAGGCTGATGGGGGCAATTTCCATCGATCAAACCCGCAGTTATTCGCCCGTCACCCTCATACGAGTGAAGCGGGCGCCTGCATGGTCGCCACGCTGCAGCGCCAGCGAGCGGGCGGCAGGAAGGTCGTGTCACTGCACGTGGTTTGGGGTTGCCTCCATGGCCCCTATATGATTCACCACAGCCGCATCCGTAACAGCGCTGGCACAGGAAAGGCGTGCAACAGAACTGAGGTAATATCGGCATTAGCTCGGCTCGCAAATCTCTGGCCGGACGGTGTACCGGTGATCAGGTGAACCGCCCGTAAGCCGGTGAACGGTCGATGCCTTCTCCGAGCGCAGGGCATTGATCTCTGGTATCGGCCAGCCTGTGCGTGCTCGGAACTGGCGGCAGATTCCAGAGGCGACCCGTAATAATCAGCTCACAGAACAACTCGATCCGGCACCGTCAGCCAATATTGGTCCAGGTAACCACATAGCAGCACACACCATCTGCAGCCGGCGCTCAAACAGAGCACAGACAACGGACCCGTCCACAGCGGACCGCCTGAAAACGGTCCATCCGACCCCAGCACCTGTGTTGGTCGGCCCATCAACCTCCGATCAGCGCATTCCAAGCTGGGTACGGGCGGGCCGACACCTGTGCTAACCCAGCCGCCCCGCGTAGTTGGTGCAGCCGACAGGGGTGCCAATGGCCCTCCGCGAGACCGTTGGGGTAGGGGCGGGGGAGGGGAGGGCGTCACCCAGCTAACCACACACACCGGCGCCGTGCTGCGTGCATTCCAGGCACGTGCGCCGGCCAGTCCCTCCCCTGCCTCTCCCCCTCCCCACACCGGCGCCGTGCTCCCCAGGGCGAGCCGGAAGTGTCGCGTCCACGCCACGGCCGTCCACAATGCGCCGATCTGCGCCGTTTGTGTCCGGTTCAGTGACTCGCCGTTGTGACCGACGGGCCGTGTCCATCGTGCGGCGAGGAACGACGCATCCGCAGCCCAACGGCCGTCGTCCATCGCCCATCGCCCACCGCCGCCATCGCTGGTCGCTCCCCACCGCGGTGCATTCATCAGTGGTCGCGGCGCGAGATGACGTCCTGCAGCGACCGAGGCTGCATATCCGGCTGTAGTAACTCCCCCACGGAGACACGACTGAGGACCGGTCCCCGCAGCGGAGACCGCGGTGAGTCACCAGAGCCGCTGCGGAGAGGGATAACACACCGCACTGCAGCGAGGGATAACACCGGACTGGTTATCGAACGGCGGTCAGCGACCGGAGCGGCCGCGACGCGCAGTGAATAGCCCGGCGACAGGTATAAATCCATACACTCCACAACCTACTTCTTCTACCAATACCAACCTTCTTCTACCTGGCTTGGACACGGATAATTATCGTGATAAAATAATGAAACGTTATCTTTCCATAACTGTTTGATTGTCTTCCCATTTTCCCATTTCTAGTTCCGAGCGTTGCAGAGTGGGAGGCCAGACTCCTCCGTTTATAAAGGTAACGACCGCCAGTCGTGCCGACTGTGATCTGTTTTGCCCGTCGTCGTGCCGTCTGAAAGACTGTTCCTCCCTCTGCGGGCCCGTTTACCTCCCACGACTTATTTCGTGACGCGAAAGTGGCGCCTCGTGACCGCAGCTCGCACGAGCCCGCGACCAAAACGGTCCGACGGCGGTGCTGCCTGCCCGTCTGCGCTGTACCGCCGCCCCGTCCCGTCCGGAGTCTCTCAGACAGGCTCGGCCATTGTTTGTACTCCATATCTGTCGCACCGGTGAGCTCTTCTCACCCACACCCTCCGGTGTCTAAGAACAAAGACTTGCCCAACAACAACAACGCTATCAGAAAGCGGTCATCGCTGATAAGAATCGACATTACTGTCTGAAATCATGAGGTGACGCGTTTGAAACATTCCGACCGGCTCTGAGTCACGCTATAAATGCGTCGCGGAGGCGTATGACCTCTGTCCCTCTCAGGCGAGAGGAGCGGCACTGCTGCGGGTAGGGAGGAGAAACAATGAACTCCAGTCAACCAAACATGGAACTGCTGCACAGGAGTGGTTGGGGAGGAGACGCTCGCCGACCTTACCACCAGGATACCTTCGTCCAGAGGGGCTCCCGCCGGAGTAGCAAGAGGAATCCGCTGCAGAGCGAACCGAGCATCCGCATCCGCACTGCAGTCTAACTTGCTGGTGATACAATTACCCATCTGATCCGTATAGTAGCATAGCCTCCGAGTTCCGACCATAGCCTTCTGGGCTACCCCCACATTGCCGAACAAAACCTCATATGAGCCTCCCTGACTGACGAACACACCCTCATCTGAGCCCGTTCCTGACGCCCTGGTGCGGAGATCGGTCCGTCGGCACGCCGGAGCCCGTACCTGAGAGCAGCGGGATCACCTCAGAGATCCGGTGGGCATTTAGATCCGTGAATCTGCGGCCTGCGCACGCTATCGGCCAGCAATGGCGCATTGTAATTGTAGTCTGTGCTCGGAAATGGTGCGGCTGAGCCGGAGATGCCGGATTATAGAGCCGACATTCGAGCAGGGAATCTGATTTACCGACTCGAGCAGAGAACAATGGATTTCACGGTCATGGCTAAGTGTAGGAGATGATATCTTCAGGTGAGTCACGTCTAAATACGCCGCAACGTACAGCATGCAGACATCTAAATTCACCCAAAGAATGTTCTGCGACTTTTCACTAGAGTAACCCTTCCAGTAAACTAACCAAATATAGATTCGTGTCGCGCTGGTAATTATGACACTTACGCTAAATCACGTCACAGCACAGCAGCCACAGCGCTTTGTCCCATGGTATATCCCAATCCCCGCCGCTATTATCACCCACAGTATCACCACCTGTCTCCACAGTTCCAATCTACCGCCTAGCGCCCGGTGCCCCCAATTCCATGCACCTGACCGACAGCCCTGTACCGACAGCCCCGTTCCATTGACGCTATCTGTCGGCAGCCTATTGAACGGCCATCCGCTGTCGTTATCTCGTCGGCACGGGCCGTACCGACCACCACTATCTGTGTATGTAAACCAACGGGCCACCGAGACTGTGTGCTGCGTATACGTATACGTGCATTCCGCGTATACTGTGTAGTGTGTACTGTGCTGGTGGACGGGTCGGTGGCATAAGGGGGGAGGCGGCCAATCTGCACAGTGGGATGCTCCGTACAATAAGGTTGTAATGGCAGTGGGATCAGATAGTGTGGCATACACTGGCTTTGTTTTGATGAATAGAATACCCACAGCGGAACAGCGCGAGGACGTTGATAGCGAGCGTACAGCCCATGTGGTGTTACTATAGCCATGCATTTATCCCTACAGTGAATTGAGGAAAGCCTTAGCAAAACAATTCAACGTGCAATGCGCATGAATCAACTGCAACTGCTCATCCCAACCTATCAAGGAAAAACCATTTGACTTACACATACGCCGGACAGCCTTGACAAATGCTAGAAGCTCGGTGTCTCATGTGTCTTCTATCACCGACGGTACCATGTTTTGTGTTTTGTTAGCTCTGTTGTGTTATGTGAGGGAGTGATCCGATGCGGTGTCATCCCGAGGCCGGGTCACTCACCGATGGTACAGGTGCAGGTCTCCCGTCCGTTGGTCATGCCGCAGTGACCGTTGTTCTGGCACGGGTTGGTGATGCACGGCTGGACCGACACCTCACAGCGCTCGCCCGAGAAGCCCTCGGGGCACAGGCAGACGGTCCGCTCGCCGGTCCAGTCCTCCTGGCACACGCCGCCGTTATCGCAGAGGTGCTCCGGCCGGGAGCACAGCGGACCTGCGGCGGGAGCACAGCGTTACAGGGAGCACAGTGGACCTGCGGCGGGAGCACAGCGTTACAGGGAGCACAGCGTTACAGAGAGCACAGGATTACAGGGAGCACAGCGGACCTGCGGCGGGAACACAGGGTGCACTTTTTAAATGAAGCACTTAGAGTTTAAAGTTTTCATGCCTAGTTCAACTTAGATTCAGTTATCAAGTTGTTAAATACGCCTGACAAACATCAAGTGTACACGTGGGAGCCATGGCGTGGAAACTTATCGCCTCGACAAATTTATCGGCTTTCATCCTCGGCGCGTTTCGAAACTGCTATTTACTCGCACCGACGCACACTTTCCAGGGCTGGTGCCGCATTATCCGTTGAAAAGGAGCGCATGGTGACAAACTGTGGTTTTCACTTCCTAACGAGAACACTGCGTCCGACCCACATATTGCGGAGTGTGTGCAGACAAACAGGCCAGCTTCACAGACCGGCAGCGGGGAGGGGTCGCGTCCCGTGACCCGCTGAACAGCCGCCGAGATGACGGGGTGGGGGAGGGTCACGGACAGACACAGGTCGTGACCCCCGACCTCGGCGGCCCAGTCAGAGAGCAGTAACGTTTCTCAGGGGCGCGGCTGGAGTGTCAAAACACCCCAGCATGCTCAGCAGCGGCGGCAAAAGGCACCTCTACAGGAAATCTGCGCACGCGGCTGCATTCAGTAACAGGATTAGGCGATTTTCCTCAGTGAGTGCCCAGCAATTGATCGGCAATGTTTCTAAACTTAGCCTTAACTTAGCTCATGCTAGATAAAAGAAAGATGTACTCGTGCCAAACGCGCACTCCTGACTTCTAAACGATTTGAGAAGCTATTGCGGGAAGGAGCAGCGCCTGTGGCGACTTACTTCCACACATATTCTGGCAGCAGAGAGGAAAACTCACCACTCACAGCGTTTGAGGACATCGTGAGCCTCATAAAACATAAATTTTCAAGCACACAAGACCAGATGCTGCTAAAAAGGTAATACCATAAACGAGCGCTTATTAAAAAAAGAAAAAAGTTAAGGCGTCAAACTTCTGAAAGCTAGCCATTCCATCTCATTTTCAGGCAGATGCCCCATGCCACAAAAACCGTTCGGGCTTCCCTGACAGCCCTGCCCAGGTGCTGCGGCTTCAGTAATCAATCGTTCCCTGACCCCGCCTCGGCCACCTTCCACTCCGGGGTCACCGAAGAAGCACCGGCGCTGCGAGCGGCGCATACGCGGGACGCCAGGTTTTCCCGATAGTCTACAGACACCGTTGACCGTTCTTCTATTGTTCATCCGTTCATCAAGCGGAAACACCGTCTGCCATCTGCATTGTTGGCTCACCAACCGTGACAAGTGACTTCACCTAACCGTTCTTTATACCTAATAATCGCAAAACATACCTCAGAGGACACCCGAAAAAGCGTGACGACGTTTAGACAAAGGAACGCCCTCTTCAGTCCCACTGTGCCTGCCCAGGCCCACATAACAGCTCATGAAGACACATACCAGCATTGTCACGGCCAAATTAACCGCTCCTTTGAACGACCACCCTGTAATTACAAACCATTAGAAAACGGAACAATGGGAGTGTGGCGATGGCCTGTGGTCCACTGGCGTCCACCTCCACTGACACGGATTTAGTCACGGGTGTCAGTCGGTGTCACGGGTGTCAGTCGGTGTCAGAGGTGTCGGTCGGTGTCACGGGTGTCGGTCCGTATCAGAGGTGTCACTCAGTGTCAGCCGCGGGCCGCGGCGGCTCACCTGCGTCGATCTCGCAGTCGTGGCCCTCGTAGCGGCGCGTGCAGCTGCACATGTAGTCGGTGCCGCCGGCCAGCGGCGTGCAGCGCGCACCGTGCCGGCACGGCTGGTAGAAGCACGGCGACGGGTCGCCGTCGTTGTAGCCCTCTGAGGAAGGAGGGGTAGGTGTCAGTGGGATGGCGGGGAACGACAGAACAGTGGCTGTTAAATGAAAGGCAAAATATATAATAAAGACAATGTTATTCTGTGGCCGTACGAAACGTTAGATTCAGACTGCCGAAGCACCGGTGATAACTGATATAGAAGTAAGCGCCCTCTCCATCGATGACTGCAGCTATTGCCTGGTTCACTTCCAGTTGCGCCGTGACAGCGTCAGCCATATGCTCTACGTCCTCACAACGGGCCAGAAAATATATATGCATCCTAACAGTCCAGAGGTGCAGTGTCGAACACCTGTCCCGAGTGCTCCCTAAATATGTCGCCACTGGTCTAAGCTCTCAAGTCACACTTCACAGCCTCACCGCAGACATGTTCCCCAGCCGGGCGCGGTGCACTGGTAGCTGGATGTTGTTTTGGGTCACACCGCCCACCCGGCCGTATGCGCCACGAAACGTCTCGGCATCGCCCGTCCACTGGCCGTGTTATTGAATAGCCGGGACGCTCAGCCGCCGGTAAATACTCGTCGCTACCGGTCCAGAGTGGAAGATTGGTTGCCAGGATTGAATATTGGTGAGGCTGTTTGTGGACAGGTGTTTGGTAAGGAAGTATAGGTAACTGTTCTTGCTGCCAGCACGCGAGGGATGTTTGACATAGCTGTTGTGCACGTCTCGGAACAATGCCTGGGAGCTGGCAGCGATGTGACGTGAGCGGTCCACGCACCAGCGAGCGCCGCCAGCTCGCGCCGAGCCAGTACCGCCATCGGAGCACCGACAGCCGCTCCGTGCTGTTAGACGGTAGGTGAGAAGCGTGGAGCCCAGAGTGGAGGGAACAAACACTCCAGGGAACGCACAAAACACGTTTCCGTTGGGTTTATCGTTCAGGTCAATAGTCCGGCCAAAGTCCGGGCTTGTCAACAGCCCGACCATAACTTCGTGTCTTGTATCCCATTCAAGTTTGACTTTAAACGTTTGTAGCAAGCAACTGTTAACCCGCGCCCCGTAGGGGGGGGGGGGCGAAACGGCCCCACTGTCCTTTTCCGTCGATATCTCCTAAACCGCTAAAGAAATCGCCACCAAACTTTCAGGACCCCTCCGGGCATCAATTTTACACATTGTGACAAAAAATTCCAGATTCTATGATGAAAGGTTGGCCACAAATGACGTCAGAATGACGTCATGTTCTGCCATTTTCGACCGAAAAAAGACCTTCGCAAGAAGAGCTGTCAGGCCTACATATTTGAAGATACAGAAAAATGATCAGTACACAAAAGATGTAGAATTGACAGGGCTACAAAACTGCTATCTCGGATTTTAGAATTTTTTGTGTTTTGACCCCCCACAAAAAATCAAAAAAGCAATTTTTTGTATATATTAGCCAAAAAATCCAAAAAGTTTTTTGAGTTTCGAAAAAAACGGAATATATGTGATAGTACCTACCGTCTTCTATCTACATACCAAATTTCAGATCGATACCTTGTTTTTTGGCCAAGTTATAGCGAACAAATTGTTCAAAAATGATGACGTCAAATTTTCAAACTCATTTTTTGTCAATTCTAGACCCCGTAGGGCAAAACAAAGACCACCATTGGACTCCCCGTGACGAGCTGCATCGAACCGATACCCATTTTATGCAAAATATGAACTTTGAAATTTGACCTAATTTGACCTGACCTTTTTTTAGAAATTTTGTCCGAATGGATGAATGGGTGGCTATGGGCCCGGGTGCCCCGCTAAGCAGTGCTTGTTGCGAATGACACCACGGACCCACCTTGCCTTGCCCGCGCCCGGTTCACCGGTGATAATTTGGACCGAAAGTTTAACGTGCCGCAGGTAGATGGCGGCACGGTCCTCCCGGGTCTAGCGTGGCCCTCTCTCGCCAGTTGCCAGCTGGCTTAATATAGGAACGCGGGTCAAACGACGTGGAGCTTCCCGGCCGCGAACTCGCTGCCACCGAGTTAGGAGACGGACGCCTTATCTTATCCACTAGGCCACGGGGAGGACCTTGATCTGAACTTCACCAAAACGTGACCTAAGCTGGCCCCAAAGGCTGCCTGACCCACATAATCGCATTTGTCATGTAAAATGGACCATAAAACATGCATCACACGACACTTTCATATTGTGACCTCCAGTGACCTGACCTCTGTGGCCTGACCTGGTATCAGTTACCTCAGATAGCGAAGTATGTGTTTGACGAACAATGTACCATCGATGGTTTTCAATGACGTACCAATTTACTCGATTTCACATTACAACACATTTCTTGAAATGCCTGTGAATGGTGAAAATCCGACCTTTGACCTGAGCTGTGACGTCATCGGTTTGACCTAAGTCAATGAAATTTGGTCACAAGGTATTTCCCTGGTGGGGATATCGAACGCCGTTTGAATTTTGAAAATCGGCCGATAAATTTCCGAGATCTTAGGGGGGGCCGAAACGCCCCCCCCCCTACGGGTGGTAGGGTCCGCCGGTAGCCCTACGGGGCGCGGGTTAATAAGCGACCGATTTATAAAACCAAAAAGTATATAAAAAGTGGTGTCCGGTGTCATGGCTTATGGAAGTGTCCACTTTCGTGTCATTTTGCGAGAAATTATGTCACTTAAAACCACTCCATTGTTGCTGTTTTATCTTAAATGCCCACCGCTCCGATACCTATGTCATTCTGTCGCGATCTGCAGGCGATATTCTCTATCGGGTGAAAATCTTCTGGCGGACTTGGCCCCGGTGGTGCGGATTACATTGCAATGACATGAGTTGTGTCACCGGAGTTTGCTTAGCCTTGTTCGTGAATACCGCAGTGTAATCCATAATAACACACCAAGCGCTCATGGTGCTGGGTGACGGCTGACGCCATTTTCATACAAGGTAATATAATACCATAACCCATAATACCAGTATAACGCCTTTTGGGGCGACTAACGGAGCGAGCGAGAGGGTGAGCCTTGCACGTGCGAAATTTCGAGGGGGTACCTCCAGCTGACTTGTGCACGGCACCCTACTAACCGGTCTCTAGCGATGTGCCAAATTTGAGCACAATCGGCCCAGTCGTTCTCGAGATCTGGAAGCGGCACCCTGCACGTGCGCACGTGCAAAATGGGTCCCAACTGACTTTCGCACGGCACCCTACTAAACGGTCCATAACCATGTACCAAATTTGAGCGCCATCGGTCCAGCCGTTCTCGAGATCTGGAATTGACCCCTGCACGTGCGCACGTGCAGCAGCACCCCAAGCCTGGCACATGGATATGCATTGCCTAGTGGGTGCCTACCTACATGCCAAATTTCAGCGCAATCGGCCAAGTAGTTACCGAGATATTGCAACAATTACAAAAGTGACACCTCTTCGTTTTGCACGTGGTACGTGCATAAGGGGTCACCCACATGCATCGGGAATAGTCCAATACTTGGTAGAAGGAATGAAGCTACCCTACAAAAATTACCGCGTGCTAATCGGTCAAGTGGTTGCTGAGATATAAGCCTCGCAAAAGCGTGACCACGGCCGGCCGGCCGGCCGGCCGGCCGCTCATACTCAGAAATTTCCGTTAATCTAAGGAAAGACTACGCTCGCTTCGCTCGCTCCGTAACCATACCCATAATACCATAATATCATATAATACCATAACCAAATTTTAACACAATCTTTTGTTCAAATCAACTCGTTCGGCTTGCGAAGCCTTTGAGATGAAGTAACAAAGGTACAAGATGTCGCGCCTCATAATTCCCGCAGAACCAACACGACTTTTCCAAAACCCGTTTCGTTTCGTTTCGTGCGACGAAACGAGATCAGCATTCATAGGAGAAATTTCTACAATTTGACCTGATCTTGCCCGATAAAGTTAAGCTTACAGATTTTGCGAAGAGAAACACACAGAGGAGCTGAGCAAAGAAAAATACTAGATCAGGGAAAACTACATGTGTCAGCTGCCAAGGGTTGACAAATGTGGAAAAGAAAACCACCTGCGGTTCCTAAAGATTCGTAGCATGTGTCACATGTTTCTGCACACGGTACTTCGATTGCTGGGAACTTTATCTCAGGTCGGCTCATTCAGGATTGGAATGTGACAGGCATGACAGGCATTTCCGGCCTGCGGCCACCCGGGCCACTCTTTAATTAAGCACACGTACGTTTTTAACAGCATGCCGCCAACTTAAGCAACACAGACCGTCCAGAGTTCCGTTCGGTCGCTGTTTTTTTATCAGCATGCTGTCGGTTTTCCCCATATAAGGAAGTCATTGCTGGCGCTTCTTGGCCTCTCATTGGTCAAACTTGAAGAGACGACGTGAATTTGACCAATGAGGAGATAAGAAATAGCAGCATGCTCGCAGCCTTGATAAAAAAACTGCGACCGAACAGGGCCCAGATGGGCCCAGCCCAGTACGAGGCTCGACGTTACCCTCCAGCAGCTCATGTAGTACGTAACCCACCGCAGCCTCTAGCCGGTGACTAACGCAGCCCGTCCTAGCCATCTCTGCCCGGCGCCCGCCTGGCCGGTTCTTACCGCAGCTCTCTGTGTCGGGCAGCGTGCAGCGGCCGCGCTCCACGCGGAAGTCCTGCGCCGAGCGGTCATCGAGCGGCACGTTCGGCCCGCTCAGCAGGCAGCCCTTGAAGTTCCTGCCGATCAGCTGGTCGGAGGCGGCCAGCGCGGCGGCCAGCACGGGCGCGCGCACCGGCGGCCGCTCAGAGGCCACCAGCGCCGCCTCCCTGCCGTCCACGCGCAGTGTCAGCCGGCCCAGCCGGTGGCTCAGCTCGACTCGGTGCCACCGGTTGTCGTTGAGCCCGGCGCCGGCGGCCACCTCAAAGTCCTGGCCGGCGGCGCGCACTATGAGCCGCAGCGTGCCGTTGGCCAGCAGGTCAAGCTCGAGGCTGTCGGCCTGGCCGTGCTGCTCGAGCAGCGAGCCGGCGCCGCACGAGCGGAAACTCAGTCCGGTGAGGCCGCGCAGCTCCCCGGCGCCGCCTGTCACCCTCACATACGAGCTGCCTTTGAACGTCACCAGGCCCGGAGCGGTCTGAGCGGTCACCAGGGCGGCGCACAGCAGTACAGAGGCGCCGCACACACAACCTGAAACGGGCCAGAGGGGAAGCGTGGTCAGACCAGGGGCGGCAGACAGACAGACAGACAGACAGACAGACAGACAGACAGACAGACAGACAGACAGACAGACAGACAGACAGACAGACAGACAGACAGACAGACAGTCAGACAGACAGACATACAGACAGCAGACCGGGTCAGCTAGCAGGCAAGTGAGGGTCAAATAAAGGTCAAAGAAGGGGGTACTGACGTCCAGCTTACTTAGATTTAGTTGGGAATAGCCCAAATGAGATCAGAGAATTTAAAACCCTATAAACTCACGCAAACATTCTTCACTTTCGGATTAATTTCGTTTTTATTACAGTGTCCAGTTCAACACGGGATTCCGTGCAGACGGCGGGTCAAAAGCGACTGCGTTCCTTTTAACGAACAATAGCGCAAACCGCGCAAACAAACAGCGGAACGTGCGAACATTGATGTGGGAGTCACCTGAAATCTGATCGGTTAAATAAATATTCAGACAGCTCTTGCCGAGAGCTCCTGTAATCTCAGAAAACGGCTGGGCGATTAGACCGTGTACCGCTTCGTCAATTACAATTACGTCTGTTGCATGCTGTGATTGTTCACTAATTGACACGCGTTACGAGTACACGAACCGGAACCACATAATTGAATCCTCCTCTTAGGCCTCTTCGGCACGCACCACAAAGCGCAATACGCTTCAGTGAGCGTAAGCTCTGCCTGCTAAATATTGCAGCTTTGCTGCCAAATATTTGGGTTCAGGCAAGTTCAGGCTATATCATATCAGATTGCTAGGGCGATGTACCAAAACTGAGCCGGCCGAGCGACTGACGCGGAGTCTCACACGTTCCCATTTCGGGATTAATCTATAAATCACTTTGTACAGTTGTCTATCTGCCGATCTAAACGCATACATCCATTCGGTGGAAGTTAATACGCAATGGACCCACAACGTCGATAACCGCCCTACGCCAACAGGTAATTTCACGGTCCAATTCCAAACACATGCCGTGAATCACAAAGTGAGGACACGCATATAGCCAAAAGGTTTCCTACCAGTGTACCAAGAGAGCTTTCAAATATCACAGTATTGTACAATCGACATGGGCCACGGTGACGGCCAATTGAGTGTTACTTATGAAATAATATACTATATAGCACTGCTAATGTAGCAGCTCTCATCCGTTCTCAGTAATGGCCAAGACTGATGTGCAGGTAGGTGCTAAAGATGCGCAGAGCGAGCAAAAACGCTTTTTACCCCAAGTGATACAATGATGCTATCAAATAGTTCCCTCGGGATCAAAGCATGCCCCCTTGCAAATTCAGAACACAACGGTTGCACACAAAAAAAGTTCGAGCATTCCAATGCAGAGATGAGTCAAAACGGCTTATTTAGTTTTTGATGTTTATCAATGGCACGCACGGCACCCTAATTCGCCGAGGATAAAAATAGAATTCCTACCTAATAATTCCTCAAGGATTCGTGAGAATAAAGTAAACCAATTCTCCATGCAATTCGTTTGAAAATAAATTCCCAATTAACTCCGGGTGGATATTGCCCTGCTATCAGCTACCAGCCAGACGCCCAGATCCATTTGACAAATAACGATTTCTGCGGATGTGGCGGTCGAGCTCGCTTTCTGAGAAATGCCCGGAAGTCAGAGTGAAACGGTAGGTAATTTAGCATCACAGTGATTGAAGATAATCGGAATAGCATGGGACGGGGAGAGATTAGAAAATGACCAGAGAAGAAAGATGCGAATGCAAGAAATGTCTGGAAGAATAGTTATACGGGATCAAATGAGTCAGCAGCAAGACGAAAAGAGCGGGCCGTAGGTCCGGTGAACATTCGTCCGGTCAGCTCTTCGGTACGAGTGTGTGGTATGAAGAGATTCTCTGAAATGTCTAGCACTTCAGGCAGCGCTCGTGACCCATCCAACAGCCGCTCAGTTCTCTGAACAGTTGTGGCTTTGAAACCGGTCGCTGTTTGCCGTCGGTGGCCGACATTTCTCCATTCCGAAACCGTCTCAATACGGTGTACGGACTACGGATGGTCTCACTGATATGCTGGCACCCGCGAGACCGACAGACTGCCGGCACCGGGGTCCCGCTCGACGACCGCTTGAGGTCACGGAACCGTCTCCCTAATAGGGCGATCTGAAACGGCCCGGCCTGAGGCGCCCTACCACCGCTGCCAGCGCCGCCGGCAGTGACGCCGCTCCTTCGGGAGATTCCATGGCTCGTCTTGATCGGTGCACGGCAGGCCTGAGGCGCCGCACTGCGGTTCAGACGGGCGCGGGCGCGGCGGCCGGGAGCGGCGCCCTGCACCCCGCCTCTGTCCGGCGGCTCCTGCACCCCACCTGGCCACCCCTGTAGCTCTGTCCGGCGGCGCCCGTCTGCAGCGTCCCCTCCTCTGCAGAGCGGCCGTCCGTGTCCCGAGGAGGCGCCGGCAGCCCGAGGGGCCGTCATGAGCAGCAGGGCGGCACGGCCGCCACCAGCCGCACACCGGTCGGCCGGCAGTGCAGACGCCGCGCGGCGACGGACAAAGAGACGCCCCGGGCGCCGGCGGAGCGGCCCAAGGTCAGAGGTCAGCGCCGCGCCGCGCGGCGAGGGTCGCCAGTGCCACGCCGAGCGGCCGCCGGTCACCGCGACCGGCAGGATCGAGACCGGTGGACCGGAGGAATGGAGTGAACGTCTGCAAAGACCAAGAACTGAGGAACCGAGCTGAGCGCACGATGGCCACTGGGCGGGTCACGAAACCTCCATGTCTGATTTGAGTTTGGATTGCATACAACCTTCCGTCATCCTACACTTCGCAGCCTCCCTCGCACAACCCGTCAGTTTTGTCGCCAGGACAGGCACTGGTAGGTGTGTGACCGGGACCTGCCACCGTCTGGCGACACACCTGACCGGCGGAGCCCGTCGGTCTCCGGCCAGTTCCCACGCTCCGCCGCCGCCGCCGTGAAGCGTTTCCGCCGCCCCGCACGGCGTGTGACGTCACCGCCCAGTCCGGTGGCATTCCCCCACCACCGGGCGGGGAGGGGGGAGGGTCGGCGAGCGGACGGTTTTCCTGCGGCGCGAGCGGCCGGCGCGGCGCGGCGGCTCGCAGGTGCCGCAGCAGGGCCGGGCACCGGTCGGAGCGCCGCCGCCCCGGCCGAATTCGGACGGACATGGAGGGCTGACTTTGGGAGAGGCGGGAGGGCTTCAGGTTGGTGATGCAGCGGTACTGCAGAGTAGGTACAGATCGCTGTGGTCTGGAGAACTTCCTGGGACGGAAGCATATCGCGTGGAGCGATTGCGAACAACATGCCATGCAGATTGCATAGTTGAGTCTGTCGTCTCTTTTCACCCACGCGAGTCTACAACACACCGTCGCCTCCAAACCACCAGTCATAAAAATGCGGAATGCCAAACCAATTCCAGCAATAAGCAGTGCACATCATGTATTTCCATGGCTGTCTTCCCGAACCACCCTACCACAATCCATCCGTCGTTCATGACGCTTAGACAGTGAGTGGTCACGGCAATCCGACTCCCCGTGATCGTCGTGAGAGTCCGGCCCGGGGCAGACATGGCACTTTCCATCGGCCGCCTCAGGCGCCTCCGTGGGAACTGATTCACGGGCGGACGATGGTCCTGTGCTCCCAGCCCATTCCCCACCAGTCCGACCCCTGAGAGCGGCGTCCGAGCCGCCGCGGTCCCTCTACCAGCTCCGTGATCCGGCGGACCCCACCTGAGCCGGCGAGCCCCTCGCCTTCCCCTTGCCCGTGTCACCCCTCGTCCGCCACACGCGGCGCCGGTGTGGGAAGGGACAGGTAGCGAGGAGGGGAGGGAGGGGAGCGAGGGGAAGGACCGGGGACCGCGGGCACACACCTGCGCCCCTGCTCCCTCCCTCCCCCGCACGAGGCGGCCCGCGTGTAGCGGAGTTCGATTACCGAACAAATCAGAGACCGGGCGCGGCCGGCGGCCTGCGCCACATGACAGAGGCAGTCAGCACAACAGCCGGAAAACAGCAGCCCTGGCGATGCAGACTCGACTGGTAGACCGCAGCCTTCGTGTTCGTCCTTGCTGCGCACGAGGCGCCGGCCGGGCCCACTGGCGGTCCGCCGGGAGGTCGGACGGGCAATGCACGCCCCACGGCGACATACCAGTCGGCCGCATCGTCCCACGCCCCCACGGCAGGTCCGGTTTCAGGTGCCGGCCCGACCAATCCGGGCTTCTGTACGTGCAGTGTCGCACCGTGTTGCCGACAGGAAGAGGGGGAGAGGAGGGAGAGAGTGACGTGTCGAGAGCTCTGAGAGAGCTGGCAAACGTTCCCTGATAGGGAAGGGCGGGAAGGGAATGTTGAACTACTCAGCTGCCTCGAGAATGAATGCGTTGTGTGTGCGAATTCAAGGGTCTACTGAATCAGGTGTAAGTCTGAACAAAAGCGATGACTCTTCAGTCATCATTCAGGGCTGAGAATTTCCCATGCATCAACGCTATGTCTACATGCTCAGGGTGGCGAAACATCCGATTGAGCGCTTGTGGGCCGGCAACGTCGCTCGATATCACTTCAAACATTTTCTTCCTGTGAAAATATGACGCCCGTGACCAATAATTACAAACCGAAAAAAAAACTAATGTCTTTAGCTAATAGGGCCATCCGAAAATGTTAGTGGATAGTCTCAATACGGATTCAATGGCGAACAAAATCCACCAGCGGCTTGCGGAAGCCGTCTCGACTCGCCGGCGTCGCCGGTCTCCGAGGGAGCGCTGAGTCACCTGGGTGACGTCAGCGCGACGTCACTGCAGGTACCAACGGTCGGCGCGGAGGCGGCGGGCGGGGACCACGGCGGTCCGCGCCTCCGCGGGGGGGACCACGGCGGTCGGCGGGGGGGGGGGACCAAGGCCGGACCGTGGCACACAGCGAGACCGCCGACCGGGAGAAGGGTTACCACGAGACGTGATGTGAATGGTGAATGGCTACCCAACGTCCACTCGCGGATGAGCGATATGGTGAAAACTCACTGAACACAGCAGGGCTCACTAAAATGACTGGGAGTTGGTAGGTGTATTTACAGCAGAAGAACCACTTTCAGAAGCCGGGAGCGGAGATGGAGGGATAGATTGGACGCTGGCCATCCGGCGGCCTGGGACCCACCCGGCGCCGGACGCCGAGCCACTCCACTCCACTCGACTCGACTCCGGCGGCGGCGGCGGCGGCGGCGGCGGCGGGTTAGTGACCTCCGGAGCGTAGCAGTCACCGGCGCCGGTCCAGCGGGCTCACACACTCTGCGCTCACTGGGCAGCGGCCATCACTGCTAACTGCACGTCACCCCTCCTGATCCGGCAGCAGAGAGCCGCTCGCGGCGCTGCAGGCTGCGGAGAGCGGCTCGCCTAACTCCTCTGGAGCCGCTCTCTGGACTCCCTGGAGTCGCTCTCTGAACTCCGGAGGGGTGTTCACGGGCACCGCACACTGCTGCGTGCGGTGTGTGCGGTGCGTCCAGCAGGCGTGGGGGTAGGGGATGGGTAGGCGGTTCTGACGTCACGGCTGCGTGCGGTGGACGGTCCGCTGTGGCCAGTCCCGACCGGCCACAGCGATCGCTGTGTGCGGTGACGGAAGGCTGACGTAGGGACGAAGTGGGCGGAGCTTCGAGGCTGTGTGCGGTCCGACCGCACACAGGGCCCGTGAACAGCCCTCGGGCTCCCTGGAGCACTGAGCAGTGAACGTCTAACTCGGCTCTCCTTACAGGAGTCGTGAGCCAGTGGGCCAACTCGACAGCTCATTCTCGCAACCGTTCTGCCCTCGTGTCTCAGCCCAGGTCTTCCTTTAGGCTCTGACTTCTGACTCAGTCCATGGATATGCTGATTGCTGATCCTCCTCCCGGGAAGGGCCGCTGACCGGTGACGGAGGCCTCACTGGTGAACATGGGTGAGGAAAATACCGTATACCATACGGGGGGAGCGGGTGAGGCCCATGCTCGACGAGACGGTGATCCGAGTAGCGCGCCGCGCCGTGCCGTGCGGAGGGAGGGAGAGGCGGAACGGGCGGGTCTGGGGTGAGCAGCGGAGGGATGGAGGGTGTGCTGGGCTGAATATGGACTGTCTTGACGAACATTGGTATGTGCTCGATGTGCCAGGCCCACCAACGGCTACGGGCTACGGCGTAAGGTGTTCACCGAACCATGATCCGGAGATCGGATATATAAAAGGTAGGTTATGCGAGCCTAAGAGACGATCATTTATAAAATGTGTGCTCAAATTAGTTTTTAGATTGCAAACGATTGATAGGAAGCAGATTCGCACATAGTTGGTGAAGGGCAGGGAAAACGTCGGACGCAATTTGCAATGGGCCGGCACCGTTCTCAAGCTTTGGTTATGTAACATTAGCTCTATGGCACGGAATGGTTAGGGCGTCTTTTATTTCCTAACACTGAGTGACGATTTCAATCCCAGGCTACTCATGCATTCAAAGTAAAATTGGCGCCTGTCTGATGGACGGAAGTTGTTTTAACCGCCCCTTTTGGGGACAATTTAGCCCTCAGAGCGATGGACATACCGTATACGGCGTAGGCACACCGCCCTAAAGGCATTGCATAAAGTAACGGCAAGCAGCGTAGCATTTCTGAAACATTTTACCCGCAGCCAAATCCGTTTCGCTCGCACCTACCCCGCCGTGGTCCTGAAATTGGGCCCATGGGGCCAGGTCACCTAGGGCCAGGTCAGGTCAGATCAGCCGAGCCAATCTCAGTAACCTTGCCAAGATTAGTTTCTCAACATTCACCACACCTGCACTGATTGACAAGTTGGTTGAAATTCTCTCCGATTTTATTTGGATAACGGTAACTTTACTGCAGCCCGCTGCCCGGCCCAACTCAGCACGTTCACGTTGGTGCCATTGCCTGGTGACAGCGGTCAGCGCGGCACCAACGCTCACTGCAACTGGAAACAGTGACAAGCTGTCACAAAAGGAGTAGTCAGTGCCTCCTATACCTTCCTTTATGCCCTCACATACGCCTGTGCATAATAATTGAAAATCATCGCCCACCAAAGTCCAAACTAAATAGTTTTGACCTTCCGGCTTCCACACACCATGCGACCACCTGCCATGCCGTCCGTTTTGACGGGCTCCAAACAAACGGCTCGGACCGGGAGAAAGAACGTCCATTTCCGACACTTCAATTTCACGGCGCAGTGACGGGCTCAGTGCCGCTCCCCATCCCTGCCCTGCCTCAGCCGGCACCCGCGGCACCGGTCTGCCCGCCCCGACTCTAACCGGCGACGGCCTCACACGTGCAGCGTGTACTCACCTAACCTCCAGCGGCGGTCCATGGCCGGAGAGATCGTCACAACTGACACACCGCGACGGACACTATCACATTCTCCGTGAGGCTCACAGACACCGCGACAGCGCCTCGCACACGCCCGTCACCCTTCGCCAACTGCCAACCGACCCGGCCGCACGCCGGCCGCGACCCGCGCACCGGCCGCCACACCTGAGCAGTTTCCCATAACTTACGGCAGGTGGCAGCACCGCGCGGCCCCGGCGAGTACACCTGAGCCCGCCTGAGCCGGCGCAAAGTTGGACGGGAGAAATGTTGGCGGGGATGAAAAACGTGCGGGAGAAATGAATGGGCGAGACGGTGTGAAACACGGTTATGAATGAAGGTGGGGTGCTGAAAAACGGGCGCTGTTTTGACAGTGATATATAAGTGCATTGCAGTGGCGAGCGCATCAGTTCAGGTTGTGCTCATGGGCTCATGTCTCAATGACATTGATGCGAGTTGAGTTAACGGCCCATCCGGCTCATCTAATGGAGTATCTGAGCTCGGACCTCCCTCACTCCTCGGAATCCAGCTTTGCACCCCTGCACCGAGTCTCACCCCTGGGCTCACTACGGGCTAGCGATCGCCTAAAATGATGGATTTAAATAACCAAGCTTTCTTCATTTCTTACTACGCGACGATTAAATTATCAACATTTCGAAACCGGTAGGAAATACGGCACTTACACAACCAGCACACGATCTATCTATTCATTCATTTCTACTCTATGATCAAGATAGTGATGCGAAGTTGTAGGAGTTGTGAATTTCCGGCTATTGTACCGCTGACTGCCGACAATAGCTTCCGGTCCAGTTCCTCTGCCACTCCCCTTCCCCACGCTCCCACCCTATCCCCTTCACCGTGCCGGTCCCACCCGTACAGAACCAAAGAACAAAGGGTTGTTCCCAGTGACGACAAAAAAAGTCCACTCGTTATGTTGGGCTCGACAGATCCGGGCTTCGCTTTGGTCAGAAATACGTCTTGGGTCGAACTTCGCTCACCGGGTCACCGAAGATAAGTCCATTGCTCTACCTGAGTGCGAGACTGCGGACCGTCCGAGTGCCCGGTGCCCCGCTCCGGGGAGAAGCGGCTTCACCCGAGGCACGGAATGCAGAGTGCTCACTATGCGCTACGCTTATCCGTCTTGGAACTCCACCTAATACATTGAATAGGTGGTCACGGGGTCAAGGCAAAATGCAATATCAAACCATGTGAGCAGCCCAAGGCACAGAACAAAAAATAGCACCTTACAAAACAATCACGTGTATTGCATATTAACTGCAATGCCAGTGAATATCACTTTCGGCACAATGACATGTGAAATCACACCATATAACGCGCGACGTCGGCCTTGCCACCAACATCATATGCTGACCGAGGGTCGCGTGTGAAGCAGACTGTTGCCGGATAGACCCGGCGCACGGTCACAGTACTGGACAGAGACCCGGCATACGGCAGGCGGCTAGTGACCCTCATAGTAGGACAGCCACCGGTAACAGCCCACGGCGAGAGACACACTAGGCGGGAGTGTCCTCAGAGGGCTTCTCAGCGGAGGGCCGGTCTTCATTAGGTTTGTCTTCGGCTGGCCTGTCGTCGGTGGGTTTCGCCTCCGCGGGTTTCGCCTCGGTGGGTTTATCCTCGGCTGTTTCGGAGTCGTCCGTTTTGTCCTCTGCGGGTTTGGAGTCGTCCGTTTTGTCCTCTGCGGGTTTGGAGTCGTCCGTTTTGTCCTCTGCGGATTTGGAGTCGTCCGTTTTGTCCTCTGCGGGTTTGGAGTCGTCCGTTTTGTCCTCTGCGGGTTTGGAGTCGTCCGTTTTGTCCTCCCCGGAGATAAACTGCTCCCATTTGGCCAGCCGCTCCGCTCTCTCTTCCTCCGTCTCCTCTACCCTGTAACCCGGCGATACCAATGAACAGTCGGCCCAACACTGGCTTATACCATACCACAAGGACTATCCGGGGAGAGAACATCTGCGAAAGGCCATATAAATCAACAGGGGATCAGGCATCCGCGAAAAGGAATAAAGACATCAACGCAAGAAGGGCTCGATAAGAGCTGTTGACAGTTGACTCTATAGCATGTCCTATCGGACAGGACGCTACCTCTATCCCATCCATACCTTACAGTTTACACCACTCCTTCCCTTCAAACCCCGTTCTCCATTCAGAACTGCCACAAGAGAGCCCGGCCCTATACGAGCTGCCGTCACAATACACCCTGTCTTCTCCTCTCCCAGCCGTCCCGACACCCCGTCCCGTCCATGCCCAGCTGCCCCGGTCCTTACCGGTACTTGGTCTTGCCGTCCCAGGTGGCCGCCTCGAGTCGGCGTCCGGCGAAATACCGGCCGCTCATTTTCTGCACGCACGTGTCGGCGTCGGCGGCCTCGTGGAATATGACCTCGGCCACGCCGTCCGGGTGACGCTGGAAGACGGTAGAGAACAGTCAGTGGTGAGCGGGGACGGGGGGACCCAGCGCGGCGCTCTACGTCGCGCTTTTCTACATTCGGACAGCGCGCTGGCCGGCGCTGTTCACAGGCCCTTCCTCTGGGAAATATGCCGCACTGGCCCGGGGGTATCGCCATCCAGTGATGAATTTAAACTTCCCACGTCCGTGCTATGCGGCTGGGTTGCGATGGCCATGTAAGCCGCGCATTACATCCGTGGCACCAGGCAGAACGGATTACACAATGTTCCGTCATTTCAACGCCTAGGATAATTCCATCGCTAGCAGAATAATCCGCACAAAAGCCTCGTGATACCTGAGCATTAAAATTCAACAAAAACGTGCAGAGTACTCACATGAGCCCTGATTTCGACATCATCATCCCCTTGACTTAGAGTACAGTGAATAAGAGCCAGCCGTCCTCCCCGTGCTCCCCTCCCCGTGTACTCACATCATGGACGACCACCTTGCGGACGGGCCCGCACTTGCCGCACTCCTCGCGCAGGTCCTGCTGGTACTCCAGCAGCGCCTCCGGGCGCGCCTTGAACTCCTCCGGCGAGAAGAGGTTCTTCAGAATCACCACGCGCTCGTGTTTCTCGCGCTCGCCGCGGATTTTATCCGGCTGCCACGCGAACAGCCTGTGGAAACGAGGCGAGATCAGCGACAGGGGAGAGGGCTCAGGTCCGCACGGTCCTAGCTCATAGCCAGATAACGAGCTATTTTAAATGCAGTTGGGCCTCAATAAGACAGACAGGTGTGCAGATGTGGGGTCAAATATGTTCAATGGTACATCCCAATCCCCTCTCCCTATATACCGAAGGCACTACATTATCTCATGACTCATTATCCCATAGATTCAATCGGCCAGAATCAGAACGCAATGTAAAGCATTGAAAAGTATCGACTTCATTTGAAAATGTCGTTGTTGGATACCTATCAACAGCAGATATAAGGCCTCTTGGATATCTAGGTATCTAGGCACTTGGCAATACGATTTATCAATGCAACCAGCCCAAATTGGACGCAAACATTGAGACCAGCTGGTACGTACTTTTCCTGTTTCTTTTGCAGCTTCTCTCGATCTTTCTTCTTCAACGCCCGCTTCTTTGGCTTCTTACTGGGGTCAAATTTGCCCTTCAAGTCGAACGAAGCCTTCTCAACAGAGAGCTTCTTGCCCTTGAACTCATAGCCATCTAAAATACTTAACGCCAGGTCTACCGACTCAATCTGGGAAAAAGAAAACATAAAATCAGCAAAAATTTAAGATACCTGTACATAATGTACCAATTTTGCTTCCAAACATAATATAGGCATAATTGTCAACTGTGATAAACATGATATTAATGCAAAACATAAATAGAAACTCCGCAATGTCTTAGATCATTTTCTTCACTCACCCGAAAGCCTCTACATTTATGAGAGCAAGTTTTAAAACTTTGTGATAGCGACCACCTTGCAACCTCAATTGTATCGTTGTGGAGCAGTACAACTGCTAAAGTGCAGTATATAACACATGTCACTGACGAACCTTGATGTAGGTGCAGATGGCGTCTCCCTTGGGCACGCCGTAGTCGTCCCGGTACAGCTTGATCTTCCAGGCGTTCTTCTTGAGCGGGTCCTTCATGACCAGGCCGCACTTGGACATTAGCTCGACGAACTCGTCCTCTGTCACGTCCTCGGGCAGGCCGCTCACATACACCTTGGTGTTCTTACTGTCATCCAGCTGGAACCACTCTGCGGCGAGACACACAGCGGCGTTAATGTGTGCCGGCCGCCGGATGGAGGGGAGAAAGGTCGGTTACGGTGGACATACATGGGTGTCACGGGCCGAATGAGGGAGAGAGGCTGACCCATGGTAGATGCAGGGCCAGGGGCGTCAGGCGCCAGGGGAAGGATAGAGGAATCTGTCGCGGAAACATCGAGGCTGCACTTGTCACCTGATTTTCTGACTCGTCCTGCAGTTTCGGACTGATGGCACCCAATAACGTAGTTCATGACATGAAAGGTATGACACAGTGCCGAGTAGCTTGGCTCGGCTACAGAAAGCATTATTCTAAACTTGAAAGTAAAATATTGCCAATAAATCAACATCTAATAAGCCAGTTCCAAACGTCCTCCGCACCTATACCAGTCTGGTATTTGGAATGAACTGAACGCCGAGACTGCGCCGCTCACCGGGCTTTTTCTTGGTATTGAGTTTGCGCTGTTTGCCGGCCTCCTGTTTCTCCGGGGCCGACTCGGCCGGCGGCGGACCCGTGTCCAGGATAGGCGCCGTCTCCACCGCCCGACCCTCCGAGTCGAAACCGTAATTGAGACGGTGAAGCGCGAGAAATTCCTCGTCAATCTGCCAACAGATGTAATGGGCCTGTTCCAGCGCCTCCAGAAACCTCCAGAAAGCTCTAGAATCCTCCAGAGGGCGTTCCAGCGCCTCCAGAAAGCTCCAGAAAGCTCTCGCCAAAGCTCCAGAAACCTCCAGTAGCCTCCAGAGAGTTGGGAGGTCCAAATTTCTCTGGAGGCCCTGGTTTACAATTATGGCGCACATGTGACAACCACGAATGTAAACAAAGAACTTTTGACTGAGAATTTTACAATTGGAATGTAAAGAAAATTACATTGCTATAATTTTGTTAATCTTTTTTACTAAAATTGAAAACAAATTTTGCGTTTCAAGAGAGAACAATCGTCATTCTTTTGGTATCTGTGACGCCAATCTCCAGAAATCTCCAGATTGCGTTCCAGCGCCTCCAGTGAAACCTCTGGTAGAGCCTCCAGTCAAGAATTTCTACTGGAGGCGCTGGAACAGGCCCAATGGGTTAAACAACGCTCATATACACGGTACGATGCATGATCTTCGTTTTATTACGGTTAATGGACTGCCAATCGGATTTTGGTAGCCGCGAAAATTGGCATAAATTCACTACCTCAGTTGATCAGAGGACATGAATTGGCAAATGGCCGAGATAGTGCCAGTCTCATGCTAAAGATAGATGCTCTCAGTGGGCAACACGTAACAACATTCGCCACTGCACTGACCTTCGGGAACCAGGCGCCCCTCTCGGGGTCCCACTCGTAGCCGGAGCCGTCGCTGGGCCCCTCCTGCTCGCTCGGCTCTGGGCCGGCCTGGCCCGGGGGCCGTTTGGGCGCTGGCTCGTCATCGTCGTCGCTGTCGTGCTCGCTGTCATCTGAGGAGCCGCGGTTCAGCCGCCGCTTCCTGCCGCCGGGCCCGGACCGCCGCTCGGTCCCCCCGCCCGGGGCGGGGTCGGCGCGCGCCCAGCGGCCGGCGGCGGCGTCCCAGCGGCAGAGCGCGCCCGAGTCGTCCCGGCAGCACCAGCCGCCGTCGGCGCCGCGGAAGCAGCGCTGGTCGCCGGCGGCCGGCGCGCTGTCGGTGGCGCCGGCGGCGGCGCCGGCGGGCGCGTCATCCCAGCGCTGCCAGCTGTTGGAGGTCGGCTCCAGCCGGTACACGGTGCCGGCCGCGTCCCAGAAGCAGTAGTGCTCGCCCACGTAGTAGCAGTTCTCCAGAGTGGGCGCGGTCTCCAGCGGCCGGCCGCCGTCGGCTCCGTCCCGGCGCACCCAGCCGTCCTTGTCCGCGCTGTACACGTACTCGACGCTCGACGAGGGGTCCGTGTAGATGCAGGTGTCGCCCTCATAGCGGTAACAGTCGCCCGGGTCGGCCGCCGCCGGGGCCGCAGACTGAGCAGCGCTGGATGCTTTGCTCGACGATTCAGCAGCTCCATTCTGTGGGACTGGCTCCACTTCTGATGTGGTTTGTGATGATGGCTTTTCCTCTCCTGCTGTGTTATCTGCAGCAACTTGTTCACATGCTTCGTTTTGTGGCATTTGTGATGCATCCATAGGCTCTGTGGCCTCCTTTTGAGGCGATGCCACTTTGGCAGGGTCCATTTGAGATGGCTCAGCAGTATCACTGTTTTTCAGATTTCCTTGGGCTGGCAGGGGACCACCAGAAGAGGATTCCTCAGCACTCTCCTTCATATCAGAAGAGACAATTTCTGGTTTGGTTTCATCTATCACTGACATTAACAGTTACTGATTTGTAGCAGAATATGGGTATTGGGTAGGTCTAGGTAATGATTTTCACTTTTCAGGTATTCACAATACAATACAAATACATGTCAGGGCAGCTGCCTGAAACAATGATGAGGTAGCATGTCATTTCATATAAAAACTATTGAATGCACTAGACATAGGCACACAGCCAGAGTCCCAGCTCAAAAGGATATACTCTTATTATTCTACCAAGTACCATGCATTCATGTGTCCACATTGGAGGAATTCAATGGGTTCAAGAATTTAGTAGGAAGTTGGGTAAGGACTTTGGTACCTGGTATAAATGGTAGATGACATTGTCATCCATTAGATTAAAATGAGGATTGACAAGGTCTTGCTGGTATGGATGCACTCCATCAGTGTGTGGTGGTGTGCAGACTTACATGGAGGGGTGTGGGTCCTGTGGTATTGTGCTAAACATGCTGGTGCAGCAATAGCATTGCTTTTAAAAAGTGATGCATGAGAGACAATGCCAGGGAATTATTAACATTTTAACATATATACAATTAACAATTAACATTTGCAATTTAGTCCTATCACAAAAGCAGATTCATGAATTCTTCAGAAAATTTCTAGTCATGTTAGATACAGGCTGGTGCGGATACCGATTTTGAAAATATGTAGGCTTTGTTAGTTGTTAGGCTGAGGTGCATGCTGGTGCAAATTTCTAACCAGTTTAGTGCAGATTCATCATCCTGTCTGCTGCTGTCTCTTTAACCCTGCTGTCATGCTTTGCAGTCTCAGTCTGGCCAAGATTCTTACAGATAATGGCCTGATGCTGCAGTCAGCAGTGCACTGTGATGCACTGCTGTACTGGTGCAGTGTTTGATGCTTGTGTTGCAACTTGCAAGCAGCATACGAGATTGACATTTCTACGGTAACCCCATTCACCTGTGCGGCAGCGCCATGAAACAATGCATGTCAGTCCCTTAAGTGGTTCACACTGTGTGATAACATTTTTAAAATGATAATTCTGTGATATTGTGATTAAAAGAACTGTAGACTGCAGTTTTGATGCAGAAAATGCCACTGGATTAGATTGATTCAATTCAATGTTTCAGTTTACCTCAGAATTAAATTAAATTAAAGGTTCATCAAAAACCACTACCATGATCAAAATAATGACCTAGACCAAGACCTGGACATTCCAGTAAAGCCTTCACATTTTAATGTTTAATTATTCAGCGTTATTTACCCTAATCATAAAGGCCGGGCTCCACTACGCGTTTTTTTCACGCGCGTTTTATCCGAGACATCGGTTTTTGCGTGAAATCGGTTTTGCAATTTGTCGGTTTTTGCGTGATAACGTTTTTTGCTTGTCATCCTGAAGCACGTGACATTGTTGTCATTAAACCCAAGCTCCACTACGCGGAAAATCACACTTTGTTTATTTTGAGCCTATAAAGAAGGTGTTTTGCAAGTAGGTACATTTAATAAAAAGTAAGCCAAACTTTTATAAAATTTGTCTGAAGGGTTGAGTGGTTGGCTTTGAGCCCGGGTGCCCACTAAGCAGAGGTTGTTGCATAGCAGCATGGACCCACCAATCAATCTTCAGCCGCACCCAGTTCATGTTCATTGTTCAGCAAGTGGATGGCAGCACAGCACAAGGCTGGACTTTCTCACGTCGGAGCCTCTGTGCTCGGCGTGTACATTCCTTTTGATGTACCTGTGCGTGTACATTCCTTTTGATGTACCTGTTTGTTTTTTGAAAGGCACAAATGACAAAATTGAGCAGAATTTGATGCTGAAGTGTCTTGCACATGTTGCTAGCCTTGCACCCATGATAAACTTGCTTAAATACATAACTTGTTTCATAGCTAGCCACTGGTGGCAGAAGAGGGCAAGGGATTTTTTATTCTTAACATTCCGCCTACCTATCGCAATGCACCAGACTGGAAAACATCCATACACTACATAGCTGGACGCCCGTGAGACCCTCATACGCCGAAACTCGACACAAGCAATTTTGAGCTGAAATTGCTGCATCACTTACCATGAAAGTTGGGTGCCTATTTGTGCCGAAATAATCCACTTTTACATAAAACGCGTGTGCACTCAGAACTGTGCACATCTACCGACCACTCATCTATCACCACTCCGCCAATTTCTATTTGAATTAAAAACATTTTCCCCTGCATTGACACGCATATTTACGTCTGGACAACGAGTTGCGTTGGAGAGGCCGGAAATAGTGGCGATTTCAGGACCGCAAGAATGGACCGTCATTGGAATGATTCTTTCTTAAACTGTGCACTGTTTTCGGCCGGAATTTAATAGTTACTACAAAATATTTTGTCATTACGTTTCCACCAAGAATGAATGCCACTAGGGCTGAATTTTTACTACTTTTGCATTTTGTCAAGAAGCATATAGTGCTGTTATATTGCAGTTTTAGCGCGTTTGTTACAAAATATGAAGCGAATAAGCGTCAGTGTAATTTATCCAAGGCTGAGGCCCTAAAACATAAATTTATCAGTGCCAGAAGTTAACTTGAGGGAAGCAATGCTAATTGCTCTTGTCCATCCACTAGAAGTTATTAAATATTTTGCTTTGTGTATTCCAAAAGGAGAGGGAACTATTTTATTTGTGCCTTCATGTCAGAATTGAAGGTGGATCATTAAATTTTCAAGGCAGTTTACAAACAAGCATTTGGTCTATCTCGTATATAAGCAGTGGCTAAGAAGAAAAGGTTGATCAATCCTGAAGTTCAGTCATCGTACCTCAACTTGGCAGCAAGATCCCGAAGGACAGAGGATATATTGTATACCTGCCCTTTAAATCAAAGCATTTTTGTGCCTGTAAAGGCTTAAGTTCTTTGTGGTGTGTTCGGAGTGAGGACATATGGCCGTTTTTGTTGTATGTTTATGTGGAGATTGAATATAACTGTGACCCTGTGTTTGTTTGTATACTTACTATGGTCAAACAGGGAACAGAACATAATCACATTCACATAACATACTCACCTAGCACCTAACTCATAGCTGTACCCTGCAAGTGCAGGATCTGTACTTGTTCATGTCTCGAGCATTAACAAGGCACTAAAGTAGCTTAGTAATCATTTCCCACATTTTCTGAACATCTAACATGACATACAGCAGTGCAGAGCAGCTTCAGAGAAGAAACACTTTAAATGCACAGACTCACACCAGCCACCCAATGAGCCAGTTCCTCAGTTGACTGTTTCCCTGGATGCAGCTTGGCAAGGTGAGCTAATTATTGGCAAGTAGAAGGTTAGCAGGTAAGATTGAGTTAGGGTGAGTACCTACCTATAACTGGGTGCTACTGCTATGCAGGTCTTGGGTAGTCTGCAAATATGTGTGATGATTGAAGTTAGGTCAGCTGTCAGGTTATTCAGGTATGCTCATTGCTCAGGTCACATTTTTATGGACACTTGGCAAATTAAAAAACTAACATAACCTAACCTAAGCTAACCCGACTAAACCTACACAACTGCTGACTATTGAGGAACTAAGCACCTACCTACTTGTGCCTACATCTCATAACATGTCAAAGTAGAGTTCCTTGGTGGAAGATTACCCTCAGCTACTTTTTATCCCAGCCTTGTGAAGAAAACTAATACTTCTAAGCTCTGAGTCACTGCTGGCCATCCACAGGAAGAAACGCTGAGACTGAGAGCTTTGCCATTGTATATTGGACCAACAATCACTATCACGAATGACTATGAACACATTATATGATTACATCGTTGCATGGATTGTCACATTGACAATTTTATAACAATCCTTTTTTCAAGAAATACAGTAATGATTAACATCAAAATCAACATAAAGTGGATTTAGTGATCCAAGCTTTCTCCTCCAGTAGCAATGGAATAATTGCATGTTTCATTTGCCAGACACTGAGTACCTGATGCTGGTGATGCACATTACAATCTGCATAGCATCTAAGCATAGTAAAGCTGCCAAAGTCCATTCATTCTAGATTTTTAACTTGATAGTTAGCACTAATGTATCTTGCTGTTGTAAGTTATCATTCAATATTCATACCAATACATCAATATGCGCTCATCAGTCAACATTTTCTGGCATGATCCTGCTCAGCGCGCTCTTCAGTACCTATTGCTCAAAGATCTGCAATATTATAGCTTGTTTTCGGCCAATAAGCTCTTTTAATTTTACTTTTTCTTGCTGATATATGAGCCCGATCAACTTGCGTTTATCAACCAAAATTTCATAACTTCAAGTTCAACTTGATATTGATATTGCTCAGGAGTCAGGACCTCTATCAGCCTCCTGGATACTTCGAATTGTTTTCAGTCACATGCTTCTTAAATATGATATAAGTCAATCTTAAGGGATTCAAAACATCCAACAAAACGACGTACAAGAGTACGGAAACCGCCAGATAAACTTAAAAAGCGCCTTGGAACAGATCCAAGTATTGCTCCATTTGTTTGTTTACAATGATTGTAGGGCTGATGTATTTTTAGGACTCTGACGGTCGGCTTATAAAAAAAATGAAACGTTTTTACAAAAGTTGTAAGGCAAGTAATATTTATCTGAAAGAACTAAAATATTCAAAAGCCAAACACTATGAAATACATGAATCGGAACGAAAAAGTAACCCAAAAATCCAGCCTAATCACCGGCTCCTAAAACTGCAACAAAATCAGCACTTTTCCCCGCAACTCGTTGTCCAGACGTAAATATGCCATTGACACTGCTTTAATCGCAAAATGAAACATGTAGGGTTGCTATGTTTATCATTCCTTACATTCACTCATCCTCTTTACACTAAAAAACCTCTACAAAAATTTCCTAGCTTCAACACAAGAATTAAAAACATATTTAACAACGTCAAAAACAAACACAAAAGTACATTCTCATTGTTTGCCGCAGCGCGCAAGTCATGTCTCCCGGCCGAGATCACGCAAAAAACGATGAAAAGTTCAAATAATTGAACTTTTTATAGGTACGAGATTTCCGAGTTTGCGTGACATCGTCATGCGTTTTACCGAGATTTCCTTAAAATCGGTACGGAATTTGCAGGTTGTCGTGTTTTGCGTGACATCGTTCCCAGTGTAGCTTGCCCAATGTTGAGCAATGATGCGAACTTTTTTTCGGGAACGATTTCACGCAAAAACCGATGTCTCGGATAAAACGCACGGAAAAAACGCGTAGTGGAGCCCGGCCTTAACAAAACAAACGTTTCAAGTTTGCGCCGTTTTTGTCTCAATAAACTCCACGCTTTCAAGGTTGACCGAATTCAATTTGTAAGACTTCGTTAGGTATGCCATGGTTGTGACGTCATCGTCAAGCTCTCAGTTCCCTCCCCATTGTTTGTTTGCTCGTTCAGTGTCCACCTGTCTGTTCCTCTCTCCCTCCTCTCTAGTCTCTACTTCTGTGAGCCTCTCTTCTTCTCAACCACTTCAACATCTTCAGCTACTGCCTACCATAATAAATGAAACGAGTCTCCCGTAGTATAAAATGTATTTTTATCCACTTTATCGCATTCTCAGTGAAAAATGACATTTAACAAGTGTTGCAAAACACAAAACAGCGCAGAAAAACAAAAACAGCCAACAGGATCGACTCATTGTGATCTATCGCAAACGAGCTCCGGAACTCCGCACCACAGCAGCAATACCATGGATTAGAGATAGGCAGCAGTAGCGCCATCTCAGATCAGGTTGAACACGGACACCGGGCAGGCGGCGTAGGTGGCGTGGCAGTCGCCCTGTGCGCGGCCCTCGTACTCGGCCCTCAGGTAAGGGTCCAGTCGCGAGTCGTCATCGGGCCCACGGGAGGCACTGTTGGGGTCAGATGTCAGAGGTCAGTGACCTGGTCGGATGTTGGAGAACAGCAGGGCATGAAAATTCGAACGTCTCGTGGCAGCAGGGCGTGCATTCATTCATTTTAAAGATAATTTTCAAATTGTCGCGCTGTGACTTCTGGTGTATGCCTATGCGGCTATGCGACTGAAAGGGGCACCGGTAGCCCCTAGACGTCACCGTCTGCTGCTTCACCTGAGTACGATGTTCATGATCTCGCCGAACAGACCCTCGTGCTCCATTGGGTAGGCCGCTACCTCGCAGATGGCTCGCAGCAGGCACGCCCTGCCGTCCATACCGAACCTGGAGCGGAAGAGGTCCTCCAGTCAGCGGCTGCCGAGCGTCGGCCGGGCCGTACTGAACGGCATACGGCAGCACTGTACTGCAGCAATAAGTAATAACACTGATCTACGTTGACGTAGTTCAGATTAGCGTTGACGTTTATAGGTCTCAGTCAATGTCAATTGTCATGCAGTCATGCAGATGCAGTCATGCAGATGCAGTCATGCAGTCATGCAAGATTGTTACCCACTCAGTAGAGCTCGAGCGCAAAAAAAATCATCGATCGACTCGCTAGAACCTTCGCTCGGTGCTACTTGGACAGCACGCTGCCAACACGCTCTGTGCACCAACCCACGCGCAGACCACCGCCGATCCGCGGTTTCACTGCCTACTTATCCAGAGCGCGGCGGGCCACCTCGAAGACGCCTCCCCTGTCGCGCGCCAGGCCGAGGTTGATGGAGGTGTTGGTGTTGGAGGGCAGCTTCCAGCGCAGCTTGACCGGCAGCTCCAGGAAGTAGGCTGCCGACATGTCCGAGCACTTTGAGGCACTGGTAGCTACCGTCCGAGCACTCAGATCAGAGGTACTCGCAGCTACCGTCTGGACACTCATTCGGAAAGACGAGCGCGACAGAGGTGGAAGTCAACCTGAGACCCTTTCAGCCATATTGGAGTGGGGGGGGGGTCGTTCGCTCTGCCGTGACGCACCACCTCCACCGGCCACCCCCGCTACCGCTCTGGCAGGCCAGCATGCAAGGCTTATTCTGCCGACAGCACCGAAAAAGCACAGCAAAGCCCGTGGGTGCAACTCCTAGCCCAACTTTGGATGCCTTGCATGCTCGAGCGGCCCGCTGCGGACTGGCCCAACATGGCGGCGGCCGTGCTGCTGTAGGCTGCGGCCATGTTGGAGCAGTAACAGGGGCGGCCGGTGATTGGTGCGTCACCTGGACATGGTGCCCTCGGCCGATTCATAGAGGCGGGCCAGGTCGACGGCGCTTCTGCCGACCACCAGCGAGCGGGGGATGATCCAGCCCATCGTGTACTGGGCGTAAATGTACTGAACTGAAACGCCACACGACAGCCAACGGTCATTCAGACCGTCGCACGGTTGACAAATGGCATCGGCGCATGACGGTTGACAGCAGCACATGACAGTTGACAGCCACACATGGGACAATGGCAGCAGCATAGTTCAATACAGTAACGGGAGTTAGGCTCTATTAGTCTATCAGGACCGGTCACCGGGTTAGGCTCGCTGGCCGCTGCAGCCTGCAGTACTCACATAGCTGGCGACACCGGTAGACGGGCAGTAGACGGTCACTTACACAGCTGGCGAGATCATACCTACTCACACATCTGACGGGACCGGTAGACGGGCAGGTAGACGGTTACTCACACAGTTGGCGGGACCGGTATACTGATACAGGCTACAGCTGGCGGGACCGGTGGACGGGTAGTAGACACCTAGCCTATACGGTTACTCAGATTAGTTAGGCAGTAGACGGCTACTCAGTACTCACACAGCTGACGGGACCGGTAGACGGGCAGGTAGACGTTCGGCTCGATGTAGAGAATCGACCCTGTCGGGAAGCTGAGGAAGCGTTTGTGGCGCGAGTGCGGCGAGTCGGCGGCGCGCCGGTGCCTGGCCAGCCGCCGGCTCCTGTCCGCCTCCACCCGGCCGTGGTACGAGCTCCACGTCTCGTACGGGTTGCTCGGCTTGATCAGCCCCGCCGGCAGCCGGCGGCCCGAGCGGCCCACCGTGCGACCCGAGGGCAGGTCACTGACCTCGGCCGTCAAGTCACTGACCTCGGCCAGCACAGGGGCCCGGGATGGCTGGTCCTCCTCAGTCAGGGCACTAACGTTTGCCGAGTTACTGACTTTGCTTTGACCATCGGACTCCATTTTGTAGGTGCTGCTGGATCGAACACTTTCTCTTGATGCCTCCTCAGCCTGAGGCCCGTCAGAAACTTTGAACAAATCGCCAATGTGCGTCATGTCGCCGAGCTTCAGCAGGTCCTGTAGCCTGGCGAGGTCGCCAGATCGTGTCAGCCCTCCCGCCTTCCTCTGCCCGGCCGGGTCCGAGGTGGCGACCTTGTTCAGGTCGCCGAGACTGGCCTGGAGGCCGGCGTCGGGCGCCGACGCCCCGCCGCTCCAGCTGCCCAGTCGGCTGGGCGCCGTTAGGTCGCCAATGGTGCTCAGGTCGCCGATGGCGCTCAGGTCTCCGGCAGATAGCAGCAGGTCCGTGACGGCCGAGCGGCGCGCCGCCGGTGCCGGGGTCGGGCTGGTGATCAGCACCGCCAGCGCGGGGACCAGAAGGCGGACAGGGCACCTGGCGGCGGTGCACGGTCAGACGTCAGACTTTGTGCCGGACTCCGGAGCGGACGGACACGTCAGACCTTGTACCGGAGCAGACAGCGACAGACTTCGATCAGGTGCCGAATGTCATATTTTTTAGGCGTGGAAGGCTTTGAAGACATTAGCATTTAACTTTGAACGACGCTTCTGACTACGAACTCACCTCATATCTAACCACCGATGAAGCTCCGCCGTTGTCTTGGGGCCCTTCACTGCGCTGCGTCGGTCACCGTCTCACTCGAGCTAAGGTTATGATCGACACGGACAATTGGGAGACTGACCGCTGCCGGCGCCGGTGCTGCCTTTTATCGTTCACCTGGGCTAAGGTGCGTGAGTACAGACGATCCCCAGCTGCATATCCGGGGGCTGGTAACCGTTTAGATTGGTCTGGACATCGTCTGCGTGTCGGCTCGGTCGCCAGTCACACTTTCAGTAGGGCTCGGTCACAGCACCGATTCCATTCCACACCCGAAACGGGATGATACACTTAAGCTCCATGGTAAACATGGCTATATAGCCTTCACACTTATGCGGTTTCTCACAAATAATTCGCGACAATCGTACCTTATGCACATAAAGTCGAGAGAGCACCGTATCATGGGCCAGCTGCGAGGGTCTGCAGCAGCTTCAGACCGATACATACGGTTTTATAAATGTTACTCATAGGTACAATGTTCACATCAGTGCCTCATGCTGGCTGCTGCTAAGAGTAATACACCTTGGAGGTGGTCAGACCAGACATGTATTTTCATACCATAGCTCTACAAGGAAATGACATTGCACATTGTCTCTATTTAACGGTAAGGTATTCATCATCATAATAAAATAACATCCTTTATATTAAAATTCTACCGCATATTTAGGTAGGTACCGTTATATGTGATGCCTGAATCGACATCAGTTACAATATATAACTTAAGATAGCTCAACATGAGGTAACAAATCATCAACAACTGCACATAACAACATAACAATGCGCTCATCTCTCGCTGCACATTCCACTCTGCATTCACCCATCCTCGGAGCGAAAATCACGCTATCTCTCGCAGTCACCGTCGCCCGGCGCTGGCAGGTCGCACGGTCAGGCGTGCATCTGCTTGAAGAGTGACACGGGGCACTGGCTGAAGGCGGCCTGGCAGCTGCGGCCGGACGCTCCCAGCCGCTCCGCCTCTCGGTACTCGTCCAGCTCGTCCGGCGCGCCGTCTACGGTGTGACTCGGTCTGTAACAGCGCCAGACAGGGAGCACATCAGGAGGCACACTAAAGTCAGGGAACACACCGGAGTCCGGCGCGCCGTCCACCGTGTGACTCGGTCTGTAACACCGCCGGACAGGGAGCACCAGAATCAGGGAACACAGCGGGAAAACCCGAGTCAGGGAGCACTAACGCCAGGGAACATCGGAGTCAGGAAACATCGTTTATGGAGCATCGACCTCAGGCAGCATCGTCAAGAGACTGTGACGCCAAAGAACATCGTTAGAGAGCGTGACGTTTATGCATACAATACCAATCGTCACGGAATAATCCCGTCCCGTGCGACAGGCACCGCCCAATGGGACTAGCTACACCAAACCGCTTAAACGGTCACCCCGGAGGGGACCGCTTCCACAATTAATTAGAGCAAAACCTTCTCTCGCTGTTTGCTGACGCGGTAAGTGAGCAATGTCTTAGAACAGATCATCAAGTTCAGCTTCATTCAGCTCGAGCTCAGTCCATTTTCCCGACGGGTCGAGACTGCCGTCCCGCCGGCATCTGACAGCCACTCACATGAGGGCCATGTTGAGCAGTTCGCCGATCAGGCCGTCGTGCAGCAGCGGGCTGCCAGTGATCTCGCAAATGGTCTTCAGCAAACACGACTTGCCCTCCAGCCCCAGCCTGAGGATACGAGCGCACAGGTCGGAATGTAGGTAGACATCGTTTATCTGTCTTCATTCAATTTCATGGTGAACTTCGCATCATTCGACATCAGGAACGATATGTAATCATGTTGACATCACATTATTGCCATTATTAAATCATAATGATTAACACAAATGATGGCTACGAGATGGCTCACACAGAAAAATATTAACACCGTTAGCGGTGTAATTGCACAGTACATATCTGAGCACTTGAGGAAAGTTAATTTAGTCCCTTCCCCGCTTAAATTACTCGCGCTTCTAAATGAACACCAGGAAGAAGGTAATAGAACACTGTTAGGAGGGTTGGGTGTTTTACTACATGTAGCAAAACACCCAAACTCTCCACGGGCTCTCGAAATTTTGTTGTGGACTTTCAACGGAGGTAAAGGCATTTTTGATAGAGGCACTGATTTTTCCTCATATTCTGTATTGTCTGAGTGTATGGGGTGGTTGCAGTGTCACCCAGAAGCGTCGCATTCAAAGAGTGATAAATCATTGTGCTCGTATTGTGTTTTGTAAGCGTAAATCGGAACATGTCTCACCACTACTGAGTTCGCTTGCATGGCCCACTATTGATGATTTGATCAGCAAGCGAGATGTTTTATTTGTGGATCGACTGATGTACCACCCGTATGCTCCACGTCACTTGCAGAACTCGCTAGTTCACCGACGCGAGATATCCAGCAGAGAAACGCGCTCCACTTCCGCGGGCTTGTTACAATTGCCTCGTATCCACACAGAATTTGCGAGGCGTTTTTTCACTTACCGTGCAATTGCGCAGTGGAACCAACGCAGCGATCGTTGACCGAGTGAACCATTCTGTCAGTGTATGTCGCCATGTGTGATGTAATGCTGCCTGAGCTTTATTTGTGTGCCTTACTGCATTTCATGTGAATATTACTCCATGTACTTATTTGTAACAACCATAGGCTAAGTGTGCTATGAACCATCAATCGCGGTCTGAAAAGCCATACAATGGAGACCGTATGTACAAATACAAATACAACCCTCCTAACAGTGTTCTATTACCTTCTTCCTGGTGTTCATTTAGAAGCGCGAGTAATGTAAGCGGGGAAGGGACTAAATTAACTTTCCTCAAGTGCTCAGATATGTACTGTGCAATTACACCGCTAACGGTGTTAATATTTTTCTGTGTGCTCTAACTGAATAGTGAATACAGTGTCACACCTGCTAAAGATGCCGGAGACGCTCTTGTAGACGGCGTTCTTGTCGCGCACCATGCGCTTCTGGCGGCGGTGCGCCAGCCAGGCGTCGTAGTCGAAGCCCGAGTCGTAGAAGGGTCCGTCCGAGCGCGTCTCACCCACCTCCGACTCGGTGCTGCCCGGAAACCGGTACAGAAACTCTGTCTCCACCACAAAGTCCAACTCTGGAACGGACGTGACCCGGATCAGCGGACAAGATGGAGCATATACATAAAATGTCCCCTTTCCCCGCTACTCTTCAGACCTTCCAAGAATATTTCGCACTCGCGAACCAGCGCCTTGTGACAGAGCCTTACAACAATATTTATATGATATTCAGGGCAGCTTTGAGCTTACTATGAGCTTATATCTACTTCATTAGGTCGCTAATTATGTATAGCTGGGCAGTGGGCAACTCACCCTCGTCATCCTCGCCCTGGTAGAGCAGCCAGCCGAACTTTGGGATGACGCCGATCACGGACCCCTCTGGCACGGCCAGCGTCTGCCTGCGCCTCCTCCCGGCCCGGTGAGCCGCCTCTGACACGGCAGCAGCGGGTACCGAGCTGTTGGAGCGAGCTGCCGCTGCCAGCCGGCGGGCAGCTGCCGAGCGGCGCAGTCCAGACGGCCTGCGGGGAGGGGGCGGGGAGGGACCAAAGAGGGAGGAGGTGAACGGAGTGAGACGGAGCTGCCGCGCCCAGCCAGTGCAGCGGCTGCCACCGATACGGTTGGGTGCTGCTCCGAGCAGTGGGTGCCGCGCTGTCGGTAGTGGGTGCCGCGCTGTCGGTAGTGGGTGCCGCTCTGAGCAGAGTGAGTAAAGTCTCGTGAGGTGGGCGGGGCTCGGTGTTAGGCTGGAGGGAGGAGGAGGTGTGCAGCTTCATGCCACCACATATATGTATTGGCTGACCGACACAAAAGTGCAACTGCCAACCATTCAATGAATACGGTAGCACACGTAGCAGACCGTGGGGCGATTCGGTAAACCGGAGCGGTCGGGGCGTGACAGCAGCCCACGCAGGGTCCGATGTCAGATGTCAGCGGCTCGTTTCACCGCGAGCACAATACAGGCTATTTTACTGATAAATGCCAGGTCATTATGCCGTTCTGGAAACGCCGCCGCCCCGCGATTCGCGAACCACAAATATCGGCGGATTTTGCCTCGGCGGTGAAAAAGTCATCGGTGAGTAGGAAACTCTGCTGAATCACTCTGTCATTGATCATTGATGTCTTCTGGAATCGCCCCCGGTGGAACCGTTAGCGTTCATTCAGAAAAGATGCCGATTTCACAATTTTAGGATTCACATCAGACCTCCGTCGATCTTAAGTAATGCATAATCCGAAAGGGAACGCACGTATTTACCTACTGTATGTGAATCTCATCTGTAACATTTACATCTAAACCATAGGGTCCAAAGACGAGGCGGCTCATCGGTGCGCCAAATGTGGTTGTGAGTCCCACTGCTAATGAAAGCCATCCAATCGCCAATATCTGCAGGACTATTTCCTTTCCGACGCGGATGCTTTCAACGACTTCTCCGCCCTCTGCCAACCGTCCTCGGTTGTCATGGCGACCAACCCCTACCGGGACCGGCCGGCGCCTGAGACGCCGGTAGCCGGCTAAACGAACAATGCCGGCCGACCCTTCCCCCCTGCCCCGGCGGCCCGCTCGGCGCGGCCGCCGCGCGGGCTGGCGCGCTCGGCGTGCGAGGGGACATGGGAGCAGCGGACAGCTGACTGCTTCCGGCACTGGGGCCCCGAACGGGTCTCGCCGTGTAGAGTGCCAAACACCGGCCAGCGACCACCGACGGGACGATCACACTGCTGAATCTGCCAGACGTGCATACGACCGGGCACATCTGATGGCGGTGCGTGACCGACCAAGCAACGACACCACTCGTGAAGTAGCCGAGACTATCCGGCGCAGTCTTCCCGCGTATCTCATCCGCTGTCTTAATCGATCACGCCCCCTCAGCCCTGCGGAAGCGGCATGTGGACCCCGCCCCGCATCGAGGACTCTCCAGTCCAGCCGGCCGACCGACCCGCCCAAATTGCTGATCGGCGCCCTAAATATTCAAAGTATCAAACCCAAACTTCAAGAGCTGACCTGCGAACTCGCTCGTCGCAACTACGACGTAATGGTGCTTTCCGAGACCTGGCTACGTCCGTCTACCCCGAAACGCCTCCTGGTCATTCCGGGCTACTCGCTCAGTCGTGTGGACCGCCCAGATGGCAGCGGTTATGGCGGCGTAGCCATCATCACTAAAAACAGTTTGACGTCAATGACACTGAAGATCCCCGGCAGCGGGAGCTCCGAAAGCAAGCTGGAGTCGCAGTGGGCGCTGCTGAAGCTGGACAAGGGCCAACAGATAATCATCTGCTCCCTTTATCGGCCACCCCGACACTCTGAGGCTGCCCTGCTCGCCGACTTCACGGACCTCGAGGCCCAGCTGCAGCGGGTCCTCATCGATTACCCCAGAGTTCCGTTCGTTCTCTGCGGGGACCTCAACTGTGACCTATTGAAGGGGCCGAGTTTCCGCGCGTCTCAACATCTGATCAGCTTCTTATCGAATTATTCTTTAGATCAACTAGTAACAAATCCAACTTTTACCTCCGGCTCTCTATTGGATGTATGTATTGTTAACAAACGCGAACTTGTGTGTGACACCAGCGTTAATTATTGTCACTTCAGTCCCCATAAAATCATCGACGTGATTGTCAATGTGCCGAAAGTGCGTCAAAAGCCCGCCGTTATCTCATCTCGCTCTTTTAAGCGCCTAGATCACCCTACACTGTATCACGACTTACTCGATGTCGACTGGGATTATGTCTTCTCTGCCGAAACTGTCAGTGACAAGTGGCATGCTTTCTTGTCGTTCTTCGTACCTGTTTTTGATGCCCATGCCCCAATCAAGCGTGTGTCTATCCGTAACCCGACCGCTCCTCCCGTCTCCGCCGCCACCCGTAACCTCATGTCTCAACGTCGCGCTGCGCTTCGCCATCTAGGCCGCAACTCGAGCGAATACAGAGACCTAAACCGCTCAGTCCGGGCGGCAGTGCGTCGAGACAGGCGAATAGAGATACGGAGGGAAATTGGGGAGCGGGGCCCCAACAAAGTTTGGCAGTGCATCAGGTCAGTGGTAGCCGCGAAGAAGGACGGCCCAGACGTCCAGCCCGATCTATCTGCCGATGATTTAAATTCATTTTTTGTATCTGTCGGTCCTCGTGTCGCTGACGAGATCCGAGCCCAAAACACTCCCACCGATTTGGATGTGCGTCTCACCCGTGTCGGCGCATGCACTTTTCAACTTCGTGAGATAACACTGGGGGAGCTCGAGCGGATTATTTTCAGCATGCGTAACTCGAGTGCCTGCGGCTCCGATAACGTCTGTGTCCGCATGCTGAAATTCGGATTCCCCGCTATTGGTGGTGTCATCCTGCATATTATCAATACCTGCTTAATCCAATCTGACATCCCCGATTCATGGAAACATTCCATAGTTCACCCTCTGTTCAAGTCTGGTAACCCTTCAGACCCCGCAAACTTCCGACCCATTTCCCTAGTTCCTGTAATCATGAAAGTAGTTGAACGCATTGTCCATCAGCAGCTCTACGCCTACCTCTCCCATAATCACCTTCTGGCATCCTCCCAGCACGGCTTCCGCCCCCGGCACTCCACGGAAACCGCGTTGCTGTCTGTCACTGAACACATCCTGGCCGCCACTGATAGGGGGGATTTGTCAATGCTATGCCTTCTCGATCTCAGTAAATGTTTCGACGTGATTGACCACGATCTTCTGATGCAAAAACTGATGTTACACGGCATTGAAATTTCCTGGTTCGCCGCGTATCTACATGGACACACTCAGAGCGTGTCTTTGAAAGATGTATCCGGACGTAGAGTGCTGTCTAGGCCTCTTTCTAATGCCATGGGTGTCTTCCAGGGCTCTGCGTTAGGGCCGCTTCTTTTCACCATTTTCTCTAACAACTTATCGCTATACGCGGGCGACGCAAAAGTGTTTCAGTACGCCGATGACACTCAAGTATTGGTTAGCGGTCCAGCTCGGGACCTCGAAGTTCTCATCTCGCGCATGGAGGACTCGCTCGCGTCTCTCAACGACTGGTTTTGCGCTAACGCCCTCAAAGTGAACGCAAGTAAAACACAGCTTATTGTATTTGGCACTCGTCAAAATCTTCGTAAATTACCAGACTTTAGAGTACCATTCCGCAACGCAGCGTTGCAACCGTGCGCACAAGTCGGGAACCTTGGCGTCACTTTTGACAGCACTATGTCATGGGACGCACACGTCTCTGAACTCTGCCGCCGGTGTACGGGACTGTTGATTGGTCTTTCACATGCGCGCCACTGTCTCCCAGATGGCATCATTCGAACGCTCGTGACGGCACTCGTTGTATCGCGTATCCAGTACTGCCTTTCAGTTTATGGTAATGGGTCCCAAAAAAATTTCGATCGACTCCAAAAAATTCTTAACTTCGCCGCTAGAGTTATTTTCGGCCGCCGTAAATTTGACCATGTCTCCGACCTGCGAACAAAACTCGGGTGGTTGTCCCCGCGCGGTATGTCCGATTTCCACACCCTTGTCATCGCACACAAGATCATACAGCGCCGTGAACCTGAGCAACTAGCAGCCCTGTTCGTCGCTAATAGCGCTATCCGCGAGAGACCATCCAGACAAGATCACTTCTTCCATCTTCCCCGTCCACGGCTGGAAACGGGCAAGCGGCGGTTTGGCTATCGAGCTGCAGCTCTGCTGAACAGCCTGCCACCTCACCTGTCGCAGCTGCCTCCCGCCCGCTTCGCCCGCGCTGTTAAAGCCGCAATCGTGGACGATGAATCAGCACATCGTCGTTGACCAATAGGATAGGGGTGGGTAAAAGCGATGAGGCTGTCCTGAGAGTGTTTTGTCCTTGTTTTGACGTGAGTGAATGTGCAACTGTTTTGAATGATTAGATTAGCAACCGCGGATACGGATTCTGAGCAGTAATCGCCACGCACTTTGTATGTGGATCGCTCTTAAATGTAAATACAATACAATACAATACATATTCCGATTTGCTGTTCCATACAAAGCAATGCTGTGTTTGCGTACGTTTAAATCAAAGCTTCTATGTCATGTCACAAAGGTTATGTCATTAAAGTTAGAGCTTATAGTCGACTACAGAATGATGTTCCACTTTTCACAGGCAATTATTTGCCTGAAGTGGTAGGCTGTGCCGCATTACACGGGATGAGTTCACAAGTTATATAGCTTTGTCCCAATGCTCACAGTCGACACGCTTTAATTGCGTGATAAACGGCACAACTTAGCGCTCCGGTCAACTGATGGCTTCTGAGGAGTGGAACATCATTCTGTAGCCGACTATCATTCTATAGTCGGCTTCGTTATACACAAAGCCCAATAGCCGTTTTCACGACGGCCGTCTGGTACACATTTGGTGCACATCTGGTACAGATCAGGTGCAGATTTGGTCAAATCAGGTTCAGTATGCCTCTTAGCAGCTATCAGCTAGGGTTGCACTAATTGCTTATATGCCTGCTTTGTCATATTATCAGAGAGCATCATCGATTAAAACACTGAAATAAATTCATAAAATGAAGATATTTGCTGTAAAAGAAATTAGGTGCAGATTTGGTCAAATCAGGTGCATTCGCCGGACAGCTCGTCGTGAAAACGGCTAAAGCCAATATGGCTGCATAAGACTCGTAGCATATATGATATCAAACATTTGATAGGTCTTCCAGCAGCACCCAATGGGTCTATGCGACAAAGTGGTATGCTGGGACCGCTACTAGGGTTTAGGCTTTAGGCTACCGCTAGGGCTTACTAGGGTCCCGAATGAACAATGCCTGACCTCAACTGAGTTACGTTACTGAATAAGCTAAATACTGCATGCACTGACAGCACAATACTGGACCCGCAGTCGGCACATTAAGCAGCCTGGCGTCATTACTAAACAAGGCGCAACTGCGGGCTAGCCGGAAGACGGGAGATTCAGCGAAAGTCTCCACCCCAGAGAAGAGTGTGGGGATGGTGAAGCAACAGGAAAACGTCAAAGACCTGCAAACAAGAGATTGCCATCGAGTTAGGTAATGAACTCAGTGTGATGGAGCGGTAACTGTATCAGATGTTCCGTGTGCAGTTGTGCAATGTGCATTATGCATGGTATGCTGATGAAGAGCACGATTTGTGCAATATACGGACCCGTCTTCCATGCAATGATGTGTACTGTGTAGGCGACGTAAGTAAGTAGACGAGTCTTTAAATCATGTACATACATACATACATAGCTATTCGACGACATTTTATGTTGTTCTGCTGATTCCGTCTGAAAGGGACGGGTACAGCGCTTTTTAAATGTTCATTAATTTTTTCATTCCAATGTTTGTCGTTTTAGCAGTTCTAGTCATTTAGGAGTGAGAGCACGTCAGCTGCAGCCAAGTTAGGCGTGACGTTTTTACTACAATTTCTCATCAGGGTTTGGTCATGCCCTTAAATTTGGAATCTGCTTAAATTTGTTGGGTGTCTAGCTATAGCTACTGCCTAAGCGCTGCTGCCAAATGAGTTTTTAGCGACCCATGCAGGTTTTTTGTGGTTTACCTCTTCCTGACAATTAAGAACTTTCCGATTCCATGGTAGAGATTGCACTGTTGAAAGACCGCCGCACAAGTTTTGCTTCTTGCGGGTCACGTCGTCGATTCGTCCATGCATAGCACTCAGGCAAGATTTTGGATATCATACCTACTTATCAGTGGTCTGTATTAGATTTTACTTTACGTATTATACCAATACTTTTGCAGTTTTGTTTTATAAAATTTTGGAAAACCATGCTTATTACACTTCCCTTGACAACATCCATAAACCCCGTTGTTATATATCCCTACACTGCCTTTCTCGAGGTCTCGTCCTTATTTCTGTCGATGTGCGTAACCGATCTCCCACGACCCCGTCGGAGCGTCGTGCGTTATGTATGTATAGGTTTTGTCTCAGTGGGAGGTTGGACCCACCTGAACTGCGAGTCGATGAGCCCTCCGACCAGGGCCAGCTGGGCGGACCACAGCAGCACCAGCAGTCGATCGGCCACCATCCTGACCCTGACTCCGACCCGTCGACCTCCGTCCACGATCGGCCGCCTCCTCTCGGCGACTGTCGGAGCCCCGTCGGCGCGCGTCCTACCTCAGAATACAGCGGGCGGCCGCGCGCCGGCCGGGTGGCCCGTTTGACTGACCCGACCCGGCCGCGGTGGCAGCTCGGAGAGTGGCACTGCCGGGAGCCGCACCCACTCCACTCCACTCCACTCCACTCCACTCCACTCCACTATAGTCCCCTCTACTCCACTTCGGGCCAATCGAGTCCATCTGGCCATCGGCCACAGCAGGAAGATTGTCAAAACGAATGTTGCTCGTCACCGAATATCTTTACCGTTCGACGTTCGTCCGTATAGCGATCTAGTAGCAAGTTATGACTCTGCTGACCTCTGACTCGTCACAAGTCCGCTGACCTGACTCGTCACGACTCCGCTAACCTGACTCATCATGCGATTGTACTGACCTGACTCGTCACGGCTCTACTGATCCGACTCATCGCGACTCTACTGACCTGACTTGCCACGAGTCATCTGACCTGACTCGTCACGACTGTACAGAGCTGAATCGTCAGTCGTCACGACCGCTGACTTGCCACGACTCCGCTGACCTGACTCGTCAGTCGTCACGACTCCGCTGACCGCTGACTCGGCCAGCGGTACGTCACGAGCGTGACTTTAAGAGCGTGCCGCACTGACGCACCTTCACACGTTATGTCATTGCGCGTTACGTCATTCTCAGCAGCGCCTCAGTTTCGCGGTGACAAAATCGCATTATGGCGTGATTGAAAGTGTATTTTGCCTAAAAACAACAACATAAGGCGATATGGATATGAAAACGATGCATGTTAATAAATACAAAACAATAAGCATAACACAACACAAAACAACCTGCAGAGGTAGTAAGAGTAGATAGACACCTACAAACTCTATTTCCGGTGCATCCTATGGTGCCAACCACTGCGCTCAAGAAAATAATCAATTGTTGCTACCTATATTTGCTACAACTGGCCCAGTCGCAACGGTACCTTCTAGCTACGGTAACCGCATAGGCAACCGACGAATATGTGCTCCTTTTCTATTCCTTTCTTGCAAATGTACGAAAAATGTTGAAATTAACCTCTACTGTTCTTTAAACCTATTCCGTACCGGAGCACACCACCCTAGTCCTCCTTTACCTCCTTCCCGTCTTTGGTAGACCCTTCAGCTCTGCCGGTGCGGGGCCGGCGCCGCTTGTCCCTTTTCTCGTGCTCGTCCCTACCCTTCTGCCTGTCCCTCTCGTCCCTGCCCTTCTGTCTCTGCCTGTCGTCCCTCCCCTTCTCCCTCTGCCTCTCGTCCTCGCCGCTGTCGTCGGCCACCAGCGAGAAGATGGAGACGGGACAGGAGCGGAAGGTGGTGCCGCAGTGGCCGTACTTTCGGCCGTACCGCTCCGCCTGCAGGTACGACTTCAGCTCGGGACGGTCGCCCACGCCGTACGACGCCCTGAAATAACGGCAATGCACGACTGCTGACCGAGGTACTCACATCACTGTCTATTCGGCAGTCAGTAAGCAAGCCAGCAGAAGACATGTGTCCTTTGGATTGTTTAACGAAAAACCTATGTGGGGCAAATGTTTTTTTAAAGCATAATGCGATTGTGACATCGTTAACAAGGAAAAAACGTGTCATCAGCGTAGCCAGGGCTGGACCGGACGATCGTGTCTTGTGCCTTCCAAATCTAATCGTGGCCCCAGTATATCTCGTGGCATTACAAGGCTGTACGACACGACCGTTGGTGCTACTGTTGTGTGCGTGGCTGCAGTCTCCATGCCTTGTGGGTGCTGCTGGAAGGTGGACCGACAAAGTCCGTCCACGGCTGGCAAATTGAATGCGCTCCCCTTCTAGCTATCCCTGGCTCCCTCTCTCTCCCTCTCCCTCTTCCCCCCTCTCACCCTCTCTCTCTCTCTCTCTCTCTCTCTCTCTCTCTCTCTCTCTCTCTCTCTCTCTCTCTCTCTCTCTCTCTCTCTCTCTCTCTCTCTTCCTTTGCCAACAGTGCATCACGCACAATCACTAAATAAAACATTGCTCCGGCATTTTAAAGGGGAAGTGATGGCCGTTCGAAGTGCTATGTGTGACAGCATTCGGCCAGCACTGACAACATATGTAACTCACGACAGTAGATAGCTGAGAAAGTCGCCCACGATGCCGTCCTGGTGGTCGGGCGTCTCTCCGACCTCACAGATGGCCCGCAAGGTGCAGGCGCGACCGTCCAGACCGAATCTGCAGCGAAGGGACGGGACGCGCTGGTTACCGAATCGGGACACCGAGGAAAGGAACACGGTTACTGGCACGGGAGTCTGCAGATCAAGAACATCACACTGGCACGGCATGGCACATCTGTCAATGACTCTTCTTTTCATTCATTCATTCATTCATTCATTCATTCATTCATTCAAGTATTTAGCAACTTTCCTTCCAATTTGGTGGCATTCGTTGTGCTTGGTGACAGACACCACTGACCCTCTTTCAGAGGCAAGTGGAACTCACATTCCATCCAAGGCTATATGAACTATTCCATCTATCGAGGAATGGTGCGGAAACCGTGCCATTTTGGGCGGGAGCGCCGCTGGAGGACCGTTAGGTCTGGAGTCTGATAGATTGACCCGGCGACTGTGACGAGCCAGTTAATCACTCCACCGTATGGTTCCGGGCGGTCGGGCCATCCATCAAGGGCCGATCGTTGTCGCACTGAAAACTTTTTTACCATTTCCTGAAGGGTAAACCCGCCATAGCATGGTAGCTTGACACACAGACGTTTTTTACCACCTTCCAGATGGTAAATTTTACTCTTTCATGAAGAGTAAGCTCGCCAGGGAGGGGTAACATGACACACAGACGTTTTTTACCATCTTCTGAATGGTAAACTCTTTTGATTTACTCTTGTCTAGAGTGTAACATTTTTTGGGTTACACTCTTTGAAAGGGTAAATCTTTAACGGAACCCTTTTTTAGGGAGTAACGCATCATCTACTCTGTGCTTTAACCTCCTACAGAGAGTATATTCTTATGGCCTACCCTTTGTCACATGGTAATGTTTACCCTTTCCTTTAGTGTAAACCCCCCAGAGGATGGTAACAGACCCACAGACGCTTCCTTCAGAAGCTTCACGAAGCTTCTGTTAACCGGAGCTCACCAACTAAAAAAAAAATGTTTCAAGAGCAACAATGTAGGTATATTTGGCTTCCGTACAAACAATACGAGGGGCACACCAACCATGAACATTGTGAGACTCTTCACTTATTCATACAAATTTATACAAAGCGTTCAGCAATGCACAAGCGGTAAATAAACACCACGATACAACTTGAATGCAATTTGAATATGAATACAAGACATTCAGCGCCCTCATATTGGATTAGGCAGAGCGCACAATATTTGAAGTGAGCGACGGCGTTCCTGGGTGGTCGCCCGTCTGCGTGAGATAATGAGACTGGATCACTACAGTGCAAGGCTTTTTCAAAGTCACCAACAAAATGCATAAACTTGTAGCATCACAACAAAATTAATGTACGTACTCACAACACTAGGCCACGTGGCCGTGCACGGGGTCCTGTTAACCAGGTCAAATTAGCACCACTCAACGGCACGCAATGCTCTAGCACATCGGTACTTACAATAAAATGTCCACAGAGGCTCTATAGGCGATGAACAACACACAAACACAATCACCAACGGCCACGCCGCGCGGCACCGACACTGCTCACATCCGCTCTCGGAGACCAACGGCCGAAAACTGACAGATGCGCGCGGCCTTCAAACCGCAAACGGCCGATCTCGTTTCTGATTGGCTGATTGTTTCCATTTCAAATATCATCTTCACGAGGGTAAACAAGATCCACGCATGAAACGACTATCTGTACCCGAGTCACGATACCCAGGAGGAAAGAGTTTTCGTGATGTTCTGGATCGCGAGAGTAATATTGATATTTACATGGTAATAATACTCTTCGCTGGCGAATAAGTTCATATTAACCACGTACCGTTACTATGCACATAATGGTAGCAGCGAGTTACCCTTTCAATATACTATTATCTTGCGGGTTTGATGAAAATGAACTCTCCAGGGGGTAGTAAAAAAGTTTTGAGTGCGACATTCAGTGCTCATCATAAATGCATGGATATATTCACACACACACACACGGGTAAAATGATGCTTAAAGTCTCGCGAGATAGTCAGCGATGAATAATTGGTGAGAAGGCAGAAATGCCCATCAAATTAAATGCCTTGATTGATCAGAAATGCTCCGTAAAGCATTTTTCACTTGAGACGCCAGACAAATAAGGTATTCGTTTTCTATAAATGAGTGATACTTCTATTCATCGCCAATATTAGATGCAGTCACCAGCTCATTAAAAATAAAATCGTAATACGATGTGGCGAATCTCATTTCGCCTAACTTCATTCATGAAGCTTTTAATTCTCCGGCCTGAATATTTTTCTAAGATAAATAAAAGAACAAATACTATAAGTATGTATTGTATGAACTCAAATCGCTCAAAACCTAGCTGTTCCGAGATGTGATTACATACATGATGTATAAAAGAAATTAAATGCCCTGCACCAACCCTCTAAACTCAGACGACAGATAAAAGATAGGGAAAATAGCAGAGGAGAAGAGTACCTTCAAATGCTTGTTTTTAAAGGGACTATCCCACCTTTAACATGGGGTTTGAGTTGAGATAGCCAAGTTTGCGGCGAGGTTCAGAAACCACTATCTATCTAGGTTGCAACCCCCGCGGCCTCTTGGTGTTGAAGAAATTCGTTCCCTTCATTTGAAAATGGGCCTTGTACAAGGCCCTATCTTCAACATGGAGCGACCGTTAGTGTGACGTCACCTCGTTTAGTCATTCTGATTTAAATGGGTTTGTTCGTTGAAAAATCGCTTAAAACTTGGTCTGAACTTTGTTGTGGTGCCTACAGAGTAAAAAGAATCAGCTTTATGACAGTAATGTGGCCTGGGGAAGGAGGTAATTTTGGGCTGTGACGTCACATATTTGAAAGTTTGTGTTTGGAATATGGGAAGCCTAAGATGTTTAATGAAAAATAAATGCCAGAACCGTGTTCCTGGTCATCCAATCTATAAAGTCGGGCACAATTTAACTGGTTTTAACAACATTTTAGAAGGTGGGATAGTCCCTTTAAGTGTAGGTAAATATTCGCCGTCGTCTCTACATGCTCTGGCTTCGCTTTACCTGGTGAATAAGGTCTCCATGCTGGAGTAGATGGTCTGTTTGTCGTACAGCATGCGCGACATCCTGTTGAGGGCACTCTTGCCGGAGGAGGCCGTCTTGGGGAAGGTGTAGTCGATCTCCACCTCGACGCTGACCACCAGCTCTGCCGGACAAACGAGGGCTGAATCCGTGTCTGCATTCAAAGTGGCAATACAAACGACTCAGTAGTCACTTTATCTGGTAAATTCTAACACTGACTAACGGCCCTCATGAGGTTATAAAAGCAAACATGATCAACGATAGCCTCGTATGCAGTCGCGAATGCCACAGTGAAAAGCGTGAATATTGAATAGTCCAGCATGGGGCTTGGGGCCAGTGACTGAGCACATCTCCCAGTCAGCACCTCTTCTGATCACAATAGTGTACGTGATTCCTGCTCAGTTTTCCTTATTGGTCACGGCCTACCTCGCTGGCATAATAAATGTGGTTCGGATCCAGACTGTTCTTCTTTAATAGTCCATTGAATAATCCCGTTGTAAATAACATCTCTCCTTATACCGGAACTATATATGTAGATAAGAGTGTGTCTCTTCAACGTTTGACAATGATACGTCCTGATGCGACATAAAGCTTCATTCTATCGAGTATATATTGGTCTCCTCTAAAACCGTTGGATCGATATCAGTGGTCCGGGTTGACCCAGGAGCGCTGACGTCAGGAGGGGTTAATGGGCGCGTGGCTGATTTCTCCTGCCTCTCCGGTCTTCGGCGAACACTGAACGGTTGGCCGCGTCTGCTGAATAACTGCGAGACAGTGAGTGAGCAGCGCATCACAGCTGCAGCCGCCAGCACTGCACTGGCTGAATAAGGAAAGGAGCAAATACCCCACGAGCTCTTATCCCTTGATCAAAGTGAGTTCATATACATGCAAAATAACCCATCGCATGAAAAAAGCTGTAATTAGCTAATTGGTGATTAATCGAATATGAACTCGTGACGTTTTGGTGTTAAACATATTTTTCCTTAACCCGCGCCCTGCTGGGGGGTGTTTGAACACCCCCTTGTGGTTTTCCGCGAATATCTCAAAAACGGCGGCGCGGAGCGCCGCCGTTTTTGGTACACCTTATCATACATCAATTCTACACATGTCGTGAAAATTTCAGACCAAGGTCATTCAAGGTCAGGTCACCAGGTCACTTGAAGTGACCTCACCTCATAAACAGTTTCAATGTCTGTCATAGCTACACCGAGTGACCGATCGCTTTGAAACTTTCAGCGATTGCTAAGAGCAATAGCATGTACAAAATGTATATCTCAGAATTTTGATATCGATGACCTAAGGTCAGGTCAATTTTGCGACCTCCCCATTATAAGTCAATGGGAGAACTAATTGAAATGCGCCTCTTTTGGACGAAAGACATTATAAACACTCCCAAACACCGAATTACAAGTGGTTTAGACACACTGAACATGAAAATGGTGTCCGTGACCCTTGTTTATGCCCTGAGGTCATCTTAGGTCACGAATGGCATCTAACAGTTTTTCGCAAATAACTTTTGATAGAGGCATGCTAGAGCGATGAAAACGCCTTAGATGTGTTCAGCTAGACGATACGGATCGACTGATATGCAACATGACGCTTTCCGGTCAGGTCATGACCTTGACCTGAGGTCAAATTTTCAAGTTGACCTTTCAAGGTCAAGTTATAGTTCATTCGATGTGTCTTGACGAGAGGAACACGATTGACGATGCCGGTAAAAGTAAGCTCGTGCAAGGCTTGGGTCAAAAGTTATTGCAGAAAAACTGTTTCCGAAAAATCGGCTATTTTTGCAGTTTTTGCCCCCTGCAGGCAAAACCGTTGACGTTAGGTCAAATCTGAGAGAAATACTCAGAAAGGGCGTTAATAGGGCTATCGAATGCGCTTTTCCGCGGCGCTGTAGCTCTATTGGTTCCCGAGTTATGCGTTGGCTTCTTGGAAATTTTCGACATTCGACCTGGAAATCGGCGAAATTTTACCTTTAATGACCTCTGGTGACCTGACCTTTGACCTGACCAAAAAATTGACTGAAGTGATTTCGTCATTATTTTTGACGCTCTTTCGAACGCCGCCTACCGCGTATCGCTACGTGGCCCAGGAGCCGAGTTACAATGGGGGGGGTGTTCAAACACCCCCCCCCCCCAGCAGGGCGTGGAAATCCAGGACCCCCAGCCGGGCGCGGGTTAACCCTCGCCGGACCTATTGGTTTTCTACATACGCGCCGGCCGAGGGGGGGGCGGGTACGACCCCCCCCCCCTCGCCGTTTCGCCCCTGGTGGAGCTAGCGCGTCGCGGAAAAAACGAGCGTGTGCGCCGTTACGAGACGCAGAGATTGGTACCCGATTTTAAGGTCCTAGGTCAACCGGTGACCTCTGAGGTCAGGTCAAGTGCCCCAAGGTACGGTTCAGCTTTTGGTGAATAACTTCGCAAAAAACGGCCGCAGAGCGCCGATTTTGGCAGCATCGTGTTCGTCTCGCTCAGGCGCGTCGAATGATATACTTTTTGTCCGGGTCAGGTCAACTTGGGGTGTTGACCTCAGGTCAAGGTCAGGTCAGCACCCCCAGGTCACGAAGCTGGTCGAAAGAGGTCATGTCGCATATCATTCGATTCGGCAGGTATTCCTGAGTCCATTGGTGGCTTTCCCGACTCGCTAGCTCAATTTGATCAAGAGTTATTGACGAAAAACTAATATGACCTTGATGACGTCATAAATGACGTCACGCAAGGTCAACATTGCAAAAGTGACGCATCTAACCTTGCAAGGAGTGCATCAAATCACGATTCTGTGTGCTTGAGATAGTTGGAGATCGTTCCCGGCGCCAGAATAGCAGTTTTCATTTTTCCCCATTGACTTATAATGGTGAGGTCACGAAAATGACCTGACCTCATATGACCTTTAGGAAAAATCCGAGATATACAAGTTGTGGGACTCATAATGGATACTAGATCCTGCAAGTTTCATTTCCCTGTGACATCTCCTCTGGCAGTGAGGGCGTTGCGAAGTTGCGACATCTGAAGACCGTGCAGAGGTTCACTTATGACGTCATAGGTCAGTGACCTGACCTGACCCAAAAATGCGGTTGGTGTCAAAAGATCCGGCTTGGATCAAAGGTCAGGTATGCCAAGTTTCAGCTCTCTATCGCCAGCGTGTTCGGAGCTATCGCGAAAAAACCCTATGGGGGGGCGGCACCCGCCCCCCCCCTCGGCCGGCGAGGGTTAAAAAGTTTATGCTTTTCATAAACTTAAAAAAAAAAAATTATTTTAAAAATTTCATTTTCCTTAAAAAGTTTATGCTTTCAAAATAACAAGAGTTCTATAAGGGGATAGGACGACGGGGCATCGAAGGACAAGCTATGACCAACTCTTGTCCTTTGAGATGCTCATTGCTCATAGACACTCCATTCTGGTCCGCGATGGCAAAATAGAGGTACCGCGGTGATCGGCAGGATTAGACCACGATAGAGGTATCCCGACGTAACCAGAGGCAGCGACATTTTTTACTTTTAACTGACCCTTTGAAGGTCACATTTGAGCTGAGGACCAAGCGCGGGCATCAACGAGCTTGCAACATAGGTATAAAAAATGTGCTGTTTCTGCTGAAAAAAAATGTTTTGACTGATGGAAGCAGCAACTTACAAGTGTGCTCTAAGATGGCAAAATGACGTGGCCAAGCAAGCGGTAAACGTAACCGGGAAGTTGCAGCGCCAGCCGTGACCATTTCTATAGACATCCGTGTAAAGAACGTGCTGCGTTTGACCTGTTTTGGAACTAGTTTCCTCATAAGCCTATTGACATCATCTTATTGACATCATCTTCACACGTGAGCCGTTATGTTGAAGTTCAATTAATCCCCGGATTGAAGAGCTGAGTGGCCCTCAAGTCCCGCTCACAAGTGGCGAGCATTTTCCTACTGACATCAATGAGGCCTTTCGTAAAGATCCTTTGGCACGTGTGCTGGAGAGCCATCAACGTTGCGGTGACCGCACTAAAGCGTGAGGTTTGTTTGCTGTGCACGTGAGACCCACTCTTATACATTGGGAGCCTCCCGACATTGGCAAACACTGGAGTCTGACCGGGTCGAGCGGCGGTGGGCGCGTGCGAGCCAGGCCCGCGGCACCCGCCGCCCAGCCGGCCTGTGCGCATCCACTCGGGCGCCTGCTGGCGCTCCGTCGGTACTCACGCTCTCCGTTGGGGTCGGTGAAGACGGTGTAGTCAAAGCGCGGGATCACCCCCACCGTCAGACCGTTGGGAATCACCAGCGTCCGCTTCACCCTCGGGGACCGGCTCAGCGCCGAGCTGTTGGTCGCTGAGGGAAATGGCGCGGCTCCCAGCAGCTGCGCCAGCTCGGGGTCCAGCTCCGGGTCCAGGTCCGGGTCTAGCTCCGGGTCCAGCTCCGGTGTTGACTCCGGGACCCGTCCCTGGCCGGCCCCCGGAGGAGGGGCTCGGTCAGATGGGCTGTTTGACCCGCGCCGCCTGCCGGCCCGGCGCGACCTCTCGTATCCTCCGACCGGCGCCAGGGCGGTCAGCAGGAGCGCGGCCAGCAGGGCCGTCCGCAGCAGCACCATCGCACCGCCTCCGGGCCCGTCCGCGGACAGACAGAGGGGCGACTCCGGCTCCGCCCAACCCGCCAGCCGCGCGGCTCTGCCGCTCCGGTCTCGAAAGTGAGCGCGATTTTGATGCGTTGCTTGGTCGACGGAGCGCAGACAGTCTCGCAGCGGCACAGTTGGTTTCGCCACTGGTTAGCCGACGAGGGCAATGTTATGTCACCGAGTGACTGCCGGTGCCACGCGACACGACACGACTCTCGTGGAAACCGCCACCGTGTGGGGTGAGACACGATTGGTGAGCCTGGCGACAGCCGACAAAGACGAGCGGATCCGAGCGCAGCGCCAATGATGATGTAGAGAAAAGCGCAATCAGTCACACGCGAGCAAAGAGTCAACCGTCCGTCAGAGATGAGGCTCAAAGATACTCTTCTGGAACGCCATTCACGAAAGGGCTGAGACGGCCATGCAACGCACGACGAGCCAACGACCACTGCTCGGTCAAGACTGCTTTAGCTAAGAGTCCGCCAGTTTCTGCACTGCCAACATCTCCCTCTATTATAAGGAACAGTCATTCTATCAGCGGCCAATCAAAGTGCACGGCCCCGATGACGTCACAATGATATGAAACCCACCGTGACATTCAGAAAACGCGCAAATATTCAGGAGACATTCAATGGCTGTGATGACTTTTTGCAGTCGACAATGACAACAGCGTCTGTTTATTGAATTTTAGTGCTGTCCCCTTCATTCATCAAATGCTAGCTTTTGATTCCATGGAACGCGAGCTCTATTCGTGTTACGCAGGGCAAACACGTCTTCTTTGCGCGACGCACAATGCCACTGCAGGCATTGCCCCCACTCTCTTAAACGGTTCGTACAGATTATTGCAAAGACAACTCTGTAGGATGTGCATATTCATCCTTGGCGTGTTGCTGCGAAGCTGATAGCAGACATTCGTAAAAAAATGGATAGTGCATTACAATCATACAACACTTAATTGCTTTGACTGAGCATGGTTAGCATCAAGGGCATGAAAATTACGATGCTTGCCGCTTACCTAACTACTAGTGCATTGTTATAAATGGGAAAACATTGCATCACTTTTTGTATAATTAGCATTTCATGGATCAGACACAATCCATCTGCTTTCACGTCTAAAAACAATATAAGCTGAGGGAAAAAGGTAAAGTATGAATAGCCTGAAGAGGCACAATCAGGAAAGCAGGAGACCCATTGTTCGTTTCGAATCGCATGCCTGATATAGAGATATAGAGCTGGTTAAATCTGGTCAAACCTCATCTTAGAGCCTCACCCTTGCTAATTAAATGCTCCTGTGGTTGTTATTCAAAGCATTCTGAGCACACCGTCATAGTTATAAAAAAAACATTCATAATCAACGTGGACTGTTTACCTCTGCCATCGATTGCACGTATTTGGTTACTTATTTCTTCTTCGATTATTCCGGTCAGCAGCAGGTCGATGAAGTGCTAATCGCAGTCGCTGCTGGTTACCCTCTAGCAATGCATTGATTCAGCGCCGAACATTTGTATTTGAGGTCAATTACAACACGTCATTTTCCTTTCAGATTGTTTTATTTTCACTTTATTTTAATTGTGACTTCTTGGTATATCACTCACAAAAGCGAGCCGATACCTATTTGCCATGCACATTACGTGAGGCGTCACCATTCCATCCAGCCCACAATGTAGCTGAAATGGCATCGTGTGCGGTTTCGCAGGCGCTCTGAGTCGCTAACCGCCGGCAGACGCTGACGGAGAAAGTGTGATCACTGGGCCACTGACGCCGGCGTGGGTCATGGATCACGGTCCGACCGCCGACCGGCTGCGCTGGCGGTCACGGCAGCCGCCGCGGCCCGGCGCGCCGCCTGTCTAACACTGCCAGCGACTGAACGGGGGAGGCGTCCCGTCACCGGGCGTGTACCGCTCTGACGTATTGCTCTCATATTGCAGAACGGAGGGTGAGCCCCCGGCGTGAAATGAACACTGATGGCCGATTTGTGTGAGCTGGCCTACACATGCAACGTGTCTGTTATTGTACCAATCGAGAAAAATCCAACACAATCGAGAAAAAAATGGAGAATAGCACTGGTCGTCATGAGTGGGTCTACTCAGTAATACTGGCGACAGACAAATTTGCGCTGATGCATGCGTGATGCAATTCGTCTGTGCCAGTGCAGCAGTGCTAGGTAGCAAACCGGCATATTGCGTGCTACTGCGGAGCTCATTTTTAACAAAAAGAACAATGTCATTGCCCATTGAAAGGGCCAAGTGCAGAGACTTCCTGTCATAGCTCTTCAAATTGTCATAATGAAACAAGCGCTGTTTTTTGTTAAATGAGTTAATGTGAATGTCTTAAACTGTGTAGACAGTACTATTTGCGAGATCACTAATAGAGCTTTTATGCACTTAGTATTATAAACAGAAGAGCCTGAGCGATTCGGTAATAGCCAAACAAGCAAATACCTTTCATTGTGAAGACCCTGATACTCATTAACCCTTTAAAATGAAAATATATCGGACTTGCAGGGACTTACTATGTTGCAACAAGAGAGAGTTCTAGCAAACAATATATAACCTAATAACAATATTTCTAACAATGTAGGATATGTATAACCAAACATTTATAGTCGTCTGAGCAGATTCTTTTGAGACACTAATGAGCCAATCAGGGATTTTCTCTTATCAGCCCTCAGAGCAGATTAGACCTCAGAGCAGGTCGGCCCTCATGGCAGGGCGTCCTTCTGGGCAGTTCGGGGCCAGAGCAGGTCGTCACTCAGAGCGGGCTTCAGCCCAAATAGTCACTCAGAGCGGGTCGGCCTTCAGCCCAGAGAGTCACTCAGAGCAGGTCAGACCTCAGAGCTAATCAGCTCAGACTAGGTCAGCTCAGAGCAGATCGGCCTCGTCCAGCAGGTCGAACAGCGAGCCGGGGCACAGGTGGTAAGTGCGACCGCACTCGGAGGGGTCGGCCGAGCCGAGCCGCCGCGCCTGCGACGCCTCCTCCGTCAGCTCCGCGGCCGCGCCCCCTCTCTGACCCTCCTCCGGCAGCCTGAGGGAAGAACACAGCTGTGTCAGCTACATCGGCACGGGAACCAGGACTGTGCTGGGCCGTTCATGACCCATGTCATGAAGGCTTGATCCACTGTGCGATTCTGCACCGTTAGACCAATGTAGCCAGCTCATGCACCCATATATCGTGATGAATCCTGATTTCTGCGCAGGCTGCACACAAGTAACATCCTTTCACACACGTCATATGTGGTATAAAGCGCTGACAGGTAAATTGAATGACACATGAGATGAATATATTAGCAGGTGTGCAAGCTGACTATGAAGTGCCACACACGATGGACTGGGCTCACCGAGTCATCTACCGCAATGGAACTGCTTGTTATCCAAGATGACAAAGAAAACTGTGAAACCGGGACGTCTTACCTCCGTTATTGTCCCCTGATTACGGACAGCCCCCGCGTGCTGAGCGAGTCCTCGGGAGGAGGAGGACTGGGGACTCACCCGATCAGCAGCTGGAGGACCCTGGTCACCAGAGGACTGTCCCCGCGCCGACCGGCGGCCTCACACAGCGTCCTCAGCAGGCACGGGCGACCCGGCAGACCGAACCTGAGGCACGGGAATAGCGAGAATCAACGGTGTGTGCCTAAAACATCACTGCAGCCGGGGTGGCGCTGAGAGGGAACGAGATGTTTGGCATGCTACATCATTCATAAATGCCATCAGTCTTGTATATCATTTTAAAGCCGTGCATTGCTTTCAACGGGACCTTCCTATATTCGATGTTAACCTGTTTCCGATTCGTATCATAAATGGTGCTGCCTCCCAACCTTCTAACCACTAATCTTCTGCACTCTTCTAATCAATTCTAACTGTTAAACAAATCCTATCCTCACCTTTAGCCCTATGCAGCGCCATTTATTGATTCACGTTTCACTCAATCTCCCGATGCTGATCTCAAGTGCTTCTTTCGTTGATGATTAAATATATGTACCACCGGTGGACTCCGGGGAAAACAACAACAACAACAACAACCTCAGAAGCGTCACTTCTCACTCTTCAGACAGAACGGTTGCTGAACGAACTGCGTTCATCCAATGTTTGGCCGCACAAACGGACACTGTTTGCAGCGCTCACTGGAAGACTCGGTTTTCCAGCACTCGCCAGGTGTCCACGAAGCCGGAATTGTAAACAGACCAGTGTGCACAGCCCGGGAGCCGGACAGATGAAGAGGGTGAACGAACAAATGAGGCTACTTTTTCAACAAGCCCAGTAGTTTTTATCGGAGAGCAAATCATTTTTTATCTCGACTGTCATAGGATGAGATGTGGAGTGTTTCTGCGGACTGGCGTCTGACCTACTCCGATACGAATTGCACAATGCACAATTCTGCTTGAACTCAAATATGGAGTGAATTTTTCTTTAACACAATATGGAAGGTATACCTTCTTGTATGTACCTAGTAGTTATGCATGGCAGGAATGTGCGATAGATAGGCGTGCTAAGTATGCGCGATAATTATGCGTTATAAGTTCCTTCCGACACATGTACGACAAAAGTGCTCGTCGAGCATGAGCGCTAAGTAATGCCTGGTTAATATGAGCACTAAGTAATGCATGACTATGGATGCGCGCTAAGTAATGCGCTCTGCTCGACACCCATCCTCGATGATGGAAAAATAGGAACAATTTAATCTAAATAAAAAACCGCCAAAGCAAACGCACCTTTCTTCCTCCCAACCTAGCCAGCAAAGCGACTAGCGAGATCGGCCGTCCTACCACATTTCACGATGAACATTGCGTATCTATCTGACTGAAATTAAATCCAAGTGAAGAAGTAGAGCAATCAACATTTCGTTCGGAAGCTGGAAATCCGACTATGTAGTAATTAGCTGCTTTTTGCACATCACGGATCAAACGGATCAAATACATGGTGCCTGCAATGCTCCGTCGTAAAAAGGGGCTATTGCTCTCCGTATTTGGATATCACGCTCCGAGATTTACCGCTACTCACCCCTCAATGGCGTCCTGCAGCTGATCGTAGACATCGACCAGGTCGTCGGCGCGCGAGCGGGCTCCCTCGATGTACTCGAGCTGGCGCGAGCTCTGGTCGAGGGGTACCGCCACCGGTACCCAGGTCACGTTCAGCTTCCCGGCTGTCGGCACCGTGTCACCGTCAGAACCACGGACGGCACGCGGCAAACTCCACAGTCGTAGAGTCAACAGAGCTCGGCGGCAGAGGCGCCGTGGGCAGCGATAATTTATACAGGTGACGGGAAACTGCGCATGTGCTTTGAAGAGGTTCATAATAAACATGATGTGGATGGCATTGCTAACAATAAGTGTTATGAATGTTTGAAGGTGTTTACAGCTTTATGTTTTCTGGGATAAGTTTTAACGTGTCATTTGTACTCTTAAAATAATGTCCTCGTTTATCAAACGTGTCAGAGAAGAAACAAAAAGAAGCATATCTATAGGCAGACCGATCCAGTTTTTTTTTTTTTAGATCAATGAGCAGTAGCGGTCCGCTGATGATCAATCAGCGGCACACCTTAAATTATGGAGTGGGGGGGGGGGGGGGTGGGCACCGCTGACTTTTGGTCCCATTCTTTCCATGCAACGCCCATAGGGCTAATGTTAAAATGCCAAAATCAAAGGGGGCACGGTGCCCCGGTGCCCTCCCCGTTCCGCCGCCTATGTCAATGAGTATGCACTCTAACTCTCAGAGGACTTCTTACCCCTTGAAAGACCCTTCCCGAAGTCATAAATCTTTCAGATGCCCTTCCCGACGTCACTACTCCCTGAGAGGTCCGCAACTTACTGAGAGGTCCTTCCGTCACCTCCGACACCCCACCTCACTGAGCGGCCCCTAACCGTCCCCGTGACTCACTGAGCAGGGAGCGGCCCCTCCGACCTCAACTCACTGAGCAAGATCCCTCCTACCCTGACTCACTGAGCGGCCCCTTACCGACCCCCTGACTCACTGAGCGGCCCCTCGCTGATAATGGGCGCGATGAGAGACGTGGTCAGGGACAGCGAGCTGCCCGTGGGAAACCCGAACAGGAGGCGGGACTCGGCGCCCAGCGCCCTGGCCGTGCTGCGCAGCTGCTCCGGCGTCAGCTCGGCGCCGGCGGCGTCAGTCGGCGTCAGCAGCGTCACCAACAGCGTCAGCAGCGTCAGCAGCGCCGGCAGCGCCGGCACGGGCTCCATGGCGGGGCGTCCGAGAGCCCACTGAGGTCCACCAGTGACGTGGCGACTTGACGTGACAGGATACAGACGGTCACAAGAGTGTCGTTGGCGAGTGACGCGCGTGACGCCGGCGTTGGCTCTCGGTGACGAGTGACGGACGGAGCCGGTGTGACAGCTCACCACCCGTCCACTGCCGCCGGGGACGGCCATTCAGGTGCTAATGTGCGGTGTCGCCACGGCCCGCGGCGCTCGGAGGACGCCGCCCCTCGGCAGTGTGTCTCGGGAGCGCCGCTGTTCCGCCCCCTGACCGCGGTCTGTCGGCCAGGACGTCCGCCGCTCGCTCCCCGCTCTGCCTTTACATCAGCGGAGAAACGGCTTCGTAGCCGAGAAACGGGCGAATTTAAAACGATCTTCTGAATGTGAGCTTGAGAAAGGCTCACTGCTGGCAATGAAGAGAAACAGGGCCATCTTTTTGTGACGATGCCTGTCACTTATCAAAGGTCTATTGCTTCAGAAGATTATAGCGTCTGACGTTCACAGTTTATCGGTCTGCCTTTGGTTTTCGTGGGCTGTGGCGAAAGTCTAACATTCTCTCATTCGGTTACTGCTTATACCTACCTACAGAATAAGTAATAACAGAACTACTGCAATGTCAATCCCATCATGTTGCTAAGTTGTAGATTCTTGCTTTCCTACAAACCATTTCTTTTGTTGTCATTTTTGAAAGTTCATATATTTTATGCCACCATTATATTCTAAACTAGTTCATCCTTCGTACCTGCACCAAATATGCTCTAAGCGACAAATATCTTGTATGTTGGACAATTTTTTGACCATGTGGAGCAGTTAACGTTTTACTGCGCTGCATTTATCTTTGATTTCGGATTTCTGTTCAGATGTTTGCTGCATGAAATGTATGCAGCCAGTAAATCGTTTGTACGTTAGTAGAGCATAGGTACCAAGCAGCACTTGTTTTTTTTTTTGCCATTTTTCAGCACATTATCACCGTCTATATATTACGCCTTTTTGCTCGTGCTAATTGTCATGTCATTTTGTAAACAAGAAGTAGGATCTTCTCGTAGCTTGTAGTAAACAGCGATTTCGAAAGCAAGTTACTTTGTCGCGGCGCCGCGTGGGCTGCCATGCACGACACTGCTATGTGCCTTTTGTCACCTCCGGCGCTGCACTGAGCTCGGGGCTCCGCGCGGCCCTCGGTGAAACCGGCGGCACCACCGAGCCCTGAAATGTGACAGACCGCCCGGGCGGTGTCCAAAATCCACACAAAGGCAGCGACAATGTCACAGAGAGAAGAACGCCCGGCCTCCTATGCTAATGTCAGACGAAAGTGTATCTGGGAGGGAGGGCCGGAGGTGTTTCGCGGGGCACGGGTCGGGAGATGTGCTCCCTGCAGTCGCCGCCGTGCACTCGGGCAGTTCAGAGGTCAGTTGCTCGACACAGAGTGGGTGCGGAGGACTGAGCAGGTGCACCCAGTGAACAGCATGCTGCACGTCAATTCACAGGTCAGTGCATTGACGGCATGGAGTTGGATAAGGAGATGGACAGGTAGGCAGGTTTTAAACGACATCTGTAGAAAGTGGGATGTCTTTTTTGTCATTGTTTCACAAATTTAGTGAAAACCCGTTTAATGAACCCCTTTACAATTCTCTGTTTAACATTCGAATGGTGTTACCATGCGGCATTTTTTGGTCATTTTGTATGGTCTCATTCGTCCGCACTGCGCCCTGTATCTGCCCGATGTGCATCACCCTGGACTACCACACCTTCAGACCCTCCCCTGCCCCCAGGCGCGGTCGCGGTCGTTACCAGCGCTGGCTCTGGCGCTGCTGGTGGCCGCCCAGCCCAGCGGCGCCCAGCTGAGTATTCAGCAGCTGACCTCGCTGCTGGCCGGCCAGTGGCGGTCGGCCCAGCGCGGCGGGCGCGCGCTGGGCGCCGCACAGCTGCTGGCCGGCTCACAGCTGATCGTCATCCCCAAACTGGAGATCACCTCTCCCACCGTGCCCAGAGACGGTACGTGTCCGACACGGCGGCACGAATGACCAATGAACTGAACTTCAGTCGTTACAACTCATGAATTCAAACATGAAGAGCGAAAATGAGCTAGTCGATTGTTTTAAATTTCAAAATACCTCCTCTCCCTCCTCTCTTTCTCTCTCTCTCTCTCTCTCTCTCTCTCTCTCTCTCTCTCTCTCTCTCTCTCTCTCTCTCTCTCTCTCTCTCTCTCTCTCTCTCTCTCTCTCTCTCTCTCTCTCTCTCTCTCTCTCTCTCTCTCTCTCTCTCTCTCTCTCTCTCTCTCTCTCTCTCTCTCTCTCTCTCTCCCTTTTCCCTCTCTCTCTTTCCCCTCTCTCTCCGTCTCTCTCTTTTCTCTCTGACTCTCTCTCTTTCTACCTCCCTCTCTCCCTGTCTCATCCCTCCCAATGTTCCCACAGGCGGCTCGTTCCAGCTGTACGCCGACATCCCGTTCTCGCTGGCCGGCCTGGCCGGCGGCTCGGCGCTGTTCGCCGCCACAGACCGTAACGACAGCGTCACGTCACCGTCACCGTCACCGCCGTCACCGCCGCCGTCACGGCCGGCCGACGCGTCCCCGGTCCGACCGCCGGCGCCGCCCGCCGACCCCACCGTCCCCCTGAGGAACCCCACCGTCATCATGTCATACGACCGCCGAGAGGACAGAGCAGAGGCCGACGGGAGGCGGGGCAAAGCGAGGGAGGAGGCGGCGCTGCCCGTCACCAGCGGGTTCCATGACGCCGCGCTGCTGATGCTGCAGAAAATGGGCATGGAGGGCCGGCCGTGCCTGCTGAGAGCGGTCTGCGAGCTGTCGGCCAGGCCTCTGAGCTCCAACGGACTGCTCGGAGACCTCGTCAACGCCGTGGTCGAGTGAGTATAACTATATCTAAGCGCCCTGGTCGAGTAAGTATATGGTTACCGATTAGGACCATTATACGAACCCACATTATTACTTTGAAAATCAGTGTCTTGTCGCGACGCGATCATCTAATATGAAAGACCTTTAAACTTGGGTGTTCGAAATTTTGGAAATTGAAATGTTTGCACTGATGAAGCTACCCGATGAATAAGCACGAATCAAAGCTACCGGTTAAACGTTGGATGACAGCTATGGGCTACAGCATGTAACAAGCATGATGAACAAAATACGCGCCAGCTACCCGCAAGCTAGTGTCCCCCAATTATGATCTTTAGACGTGCTTATTGTGACGAGCATGGCTGAACGATGAAGTAACATTAAAACGCCCGTCAATGGTCAAATATCTATTCAAGCCACTGTACCTGCGACCGAGACAGAATCTTTTTTTTTTTGCAGGATTCCCTCAACCAGCGACAAAGTGCTGGAGGAGGAGCTGAAGGTCTCTCGGCAGCTGGGTCTCCGAGGGGCGCCGTGTACCGAGGTGTTCGACAACTGCGACAACCTCGTCATCAACCAGCTGGCCAAGTGATGGTCCTCTGGATCAGCCGCCTCGGGCGGCTTTGGTGTTACGGGAGCTTGGGCTGCGGCTTGCTATCGATGTTTTTTCTGCTGAAATACAGCCTGTTGAATTGGGATTGTGCTGTTTATTTGTCAGCTTTGGGCACAGATAATAGTTAAAAATCCATCTACGAATAGAACAAGCCAATAAAATCGATGTTATTTTATCGTCATGAACTCTCTAACATATTAGATTCAACATGGTCTCTAGACACCATAAAGCAATAAATGACTTATCCAATCAAAGCCACATCAAAGTGTTTTTTTCAAATTAAATCGGTTACCATTGCCCAATGCACCATCGTTTGGATTATCATACCCTCTACATCTTTCGACAGGAGTTGCGACCCCATCACGTTTGGGCATGCACTTTCGCTGGAGAAAAAAGCGTCCAGCTCTCGACAAGATAATGCCAACTGCCAAAGCCAAATAAATTTAACATCTCAGGTCCACTAATGACCCTAAAATTCAGGCAAATAGCCCAAAAATCAGGTTTTGGTTTTTGACGAGAAACCTAAGAAAAACGGTTCAGGCAAAAATAATGGAACAATAATTACCATATGTATATATTGTATGTATGTGTGTATGTATGTATGTATGTAGGTATTTACGGCGTTAACGCATCCCTTTAGGTACTAGACCGAGGTCCAAGGGCTATTCTCGAGTCAGAGTCAAAATATATCGGCCATGCAATGAAGAGGAATAAAACACACGCAAACGTCACGCACGCCAATAAAAAAGACATCAGTGCCGGATAGGACCCTCCAGCTCGGACGGCACACTAGTGCAATACACTTATTGCTTCTACTGTTCCGAAGCGTCGAATGACGTTTTTTTTTTTAAGATCGATTTGAAGCTTAGCCAGTGGTCAAGGGTGACCTCAGGTGAGATTGGATGACCTAGACTTGTGGTGGATCATCTATTACGCATTCGTAGGTACTGATCACGAATCCGACATATAACTATGTTGCTTTCTGCTCGTAAAAAGCCTCTAAATTTTACAGTCTGCATGGTCTCTGCAATGCAGCACCTCCCATGAATTTGACCTCGATGTACTCTTAGGTTCCTACAATGCATGGCTTTTACTTAGAATAGCAAATAACACTAAATAGCCATCCCCATTGCGATGCTGTTTATCATTAATGAGTTAATATGCATTCTTATTAGTTATTATCCTCTCTCAAGTCTCAGTTCACGAAAACGACCATTTCAACCGACTATGACATGACAAGAGACTTCATAGCCCAGTGACCAGACTTAATCAAGTCTGGTATGGAACTTAGCATACCGGTATGGAACTTAACACTTTTTAGAGAGCTATAAGTAGTTTTTTAGTACGGCCAAAGAGAGGATTTAAAGCTATGCGAAATGTCAGCGGATATTTTCTAATAGAGGAAGATCCGTAGCGGGATGAATGAAACCCTTGTACCAGCGAGGGTAAAAGTGACCGATAAATGTCCACCCCTGACTTTGTATGACGTCACATAGATGATTGATGTCACATTCCTCTGCAGCCCACCACAAAAATGCTGAGCTGGTTGTCATCACCTCCCGCCCCGCTATCGTCCAATCTACGGCCTCGTAACCCGTAAATATGGATGTAGTTGCGTCTACATTCACAAACAGCGCCTAATTGTATTCTACAAGAACAACCCAAGCAATTAGCATAAAGCAAAAACACCCAAAAAAAGCTGTTTGTACGCTTAAGAAGCTGCGGTTGGTGACTGTCAAGGACGATATAGCTTAATGCCTCGCTGACTGTTGTGGGTTTTCGCTAGCAAACTGCAAAGCGTTGCTTTGTTACACATTATGGTTGCGAAAATGGACCGACCCGCGGCCGCAAAACTACTCTCATACTCTCTACTAACTACTCATCTCTTATTGACCGGTAGACAAATAATTACACGCTTTTACCGACGAAAATGTCTATTGTACAAACAGGGAATGTGTAGACATGCACATTTTAAAACATTTCTATCAGCGAGTTAATCATAAGTTAAACTCGTAAATGCATGACCGAATGAAAACAGCCATGTATCCTCTAGGCCGTCTTGTAAAACAACACATAACGTTCTATAGGTATGCAACGATAACAGAAACATCACAATATTCCACCATGAAAGCACGGACATTTTGTCAGACTTAACTATATACGGATATCGAAACATGCATATAACATTTGATTAACTCAGTAGGTGGTTGCATGATCCACATCAATTTATGAGCTATTGAACATCTGCTCTTTTTCTGAGGATGCCATCGAGTGAATTCTTAATCAATAGGCTCTGAAATAAACAGTTCGATGGGTACTTTGTAAGGGATGCTACTTCTAGCAAGTATTGTTCTCTCTTGAGTGCGAACTAGCAACACACGCTGACGCATATATGCCTCTATGAAATCCACTGTCGTATATAAGTAACACAACATGCTGACTTGTTCAATGTTCGTCAACATGACTGCAGCACTTCATGTCGACACCTAATTCGCAGCTTGTACATTTGTCATATTTCACGCTCATCACCTTCAGGATTCAAGCACTACAGACTATAGAGAAAGGAACGCATTGTAAGAAAAATGTCGTCATGGTAAAAACAAACTTATTACATCGGAGAGCGTCTAAAGGCAGAGGCCGTGTGATCAGACGAGCTGAAACACACTGACGGGGCAGGCCGAGTAGTACTCGTCGCAGCGTCCCACCGCCCTGCCGCGCTCCTCTGCCTTCTTGTACTCCTGCATCCGCTCTCCCTCGGTCGGCTCCATCGTTGTCCTGGAGAGAGGGCACGAGTCAGGTCAGGACACAGATGACAGGTCCCACGTCAGCTCACAGGTCACGGATCATAGGAATGATACTACAAAGCGGGTCACCGGCTGCAGGCTACAAGCCAAATGACAGGTCGGCTAATAGGTCCGGTCACATATAAGTAAGTGAAATGTCATTCATATAATCGCCTTCTTACTTCGCCTCGGGCAATAAGATATGGTTCGTTTTTTCACCCTCGGGCTAGTTCGTTTTTTCACCCTCGGGCAAAGTTAATGACCGATGTGGCGCCACATCGGGCATTAGCTTTGCTACACAAAAGAAAGGCCTTCCACCTTCCTGGGTGTCATTACATACACGGTCAGCCCTCGTGCCCGTGTCTTGTCCACCGACCAGTGCAGGCCGCCGATGCTGGCCGCCTCACCTGAGCACAGTGTTGAAGATCTCCCCCATGAGGCCGGCGTCCTGCACCGGGGTCTCGGCCACCTCGCAGATGGTCCGCAGCACGCACATCTTGCCGTCCAGACCGAACCTGGCACAAACACAGGGTGAAAATATGAGGCACGACCCATTCTTGCCTAAACTATTGAAGTGCAATGCAATCCGCATAGAAACCTGCTTCTTAGCGTCAACATCGCCAAAATCGTGCGTTTCAAGTACGTCGATTTCTATAAAACACAAGCCCTGTTTCCATGACACTACGGACAGGATCGGATCGGCGAATCCGGATCGGCGAATCCGGATCAGCAGTGCCGTTTCCATGACCGATCCCTCCCGAAACAGGATTCGCACCGGGATTGGCCGATCCGGATCGGCTTCTCTAATCCGGGATTGGTAGACGTAACTGGCGCGCTGCGGCGATTTACTTCATAATTCCCTTCATAACGTTCTCAAGCTAATGCGAATCAAGCGGTAAGTTGTGTCTTTTCAAGGATCTGTGCCACCGTTTGTGCGCAGAGACTACCGACTGGGATTCAGCGACCACGGTGTCAGTGTTAAAGACTGTACGGCCGGCGGCGAGACTGTACCCGGCCGGCGGCGAGACTGTACGGCCGGCGGCGAGGGTCCCCGCCGCGGCGGGTAGGGGAGACGGCGCGACCTTGGCGCGTCCCCTAGTGTCGCGCGGTGCCGCTCGGGGAGGGTGGACATGGGTGTGCTGAGTGTGTAGTGTCGTCTGTCGTCTTCTCTTGCGACCATGTAAGTTTCTGCCGTGCTTTGTAACAATTGGTTAAGAAAATTTATCCCAATTATTGCAGCAAACATAAACCGCAGACCAAAACTGGCGCCGAAACGCTCAGTTCAAAATGGCGGCGGCGCAGCCTGCCGCAAAGGGAATAGTGCTGCCATATGCTGCCAAAGTGGGATCGGCCTCTCTAATCTTCTTTTTGAATCCGGATTACCCGATCCGATCCCCCAACGCGAAATGTGCCGTTTCCATGGTCGTTTGAATCCGGATTCGGAGCTAATCCGGATTCAGAAGTGTCATGGAAACGGGGCTACAGAAGTGGCAAGAGCAAAATGATAAATAGGCGGGCTATGTCAATTGCTATTGACCCCTCTGCAACAGAATAGCGATGGCAGAAGCATACTGAAGACGCAAAATGTAAGCTATCCTCTTGATTGCGATTGCAATCATGTAAACCACTGACCGCCGCTCCTGTTGTATCTCTGCGAGACTCACTGCGAGATGAAGGTCTCGGCGTACGAGTACATGCTGGCCTTGTCGTCGTCCAGGCTGCGTCTGTAGTAGGTGTACGAGTCGTCTCCCTCCTCCCCGTCAGTGGTCTTGTAGCGCGCCGGGTCCGCTGAGGCCGTCGGCAGCGCGAAACTCAGCGGGACCTCCACGTTCAGCATCGAGCCTGACGGAGCAAGGTGGCGAGTGAGGAACTTGGTGATTATACAAGTGCATTTCTAGTTAAAGATACAAAATTGCAATATCGTTTTAGGTAAATTTTGGAGTTTTGCGCGTCAGAATAGTTAAAGCCGCAAGCCATCTCTAAGAATATAAATGATATGACGATGGAATGCCCACCGAACTTCTGTCAACCGTTCTGAAAATGAGAGTCCATTTACTGGATGCGGGCCGGTATGCTCTCAATGTTTCGAAGCAAGCTCACCAGCAGAGACGAGTCCGGGCAGCGGCATGGTGAACTTTGGCGTCAGGATGAATGTGGCGCCGGCCGGCAGCGGTGCGAAGAAGCGCCTCCTCCGGGAGAGGGATCGCGCAGACAGGTTTGTGCCGTTGTCACCCACTCGGCTGAACAGCTCAGAGTCCGCCGGCACACCTGGGTGGGCGGCTGGGGGCCGATAGGGGGTCAGAGGGGGCACGGGGGACAGAGGGGGCCGGAAATATGTCAGGGACAGATTATCATAATCCAAAATGGGCCAGATGTGAAGTTTAAATTTGAATGACAATTGCGAACAGAGCGATTGGAAGCATGGTAAAGTATGGTTCGTCTGACATGCATGCAATCTAATAGAATGTCAATATTTGAGATTTGACAAAGAAAGGCCCGACTTAGAAGGTTTTCAAAGTAATAGGCAAGTTGTCGAGAGAGTCAGCGTTTCATCCCACTGTCGTCTGTCCCATATGACCGAGCGCAAAGTAGCATCCGTCGAGTCAGCGGTCAGCGAGGTCGAAGCTGACTGGAGTGAAGTTGATTGTGGTCGTGGAGTCTGAGGTCACTGCTAAAAGAAGCGGCTCAGTCAGACTCAGACTTCACAACGAACAGCTCACGTCCCTAGGCAAAATTGCGTGCCGGTTAGTAAAGCCGTCAACGTTTGCGATGTAGGTTATGCCTATTGCATGCGGTCATAGCAAATAGGCCGGGGTTGTGAGGTATTAACCCGCGGCCTGTTGGGGGGGGGGGGTGTTTGAACACCCCCCCTTGTGGTTTTTCGCGAATATCTCAAAAACGGCGGCAATGCCGGAGTTGGGGCAAAGCCGAAATTCGAGATATTTCGAAAACCGTACGACATGGATGCCACTGTCAGTGATGCTCTGAAGCTTAAGTGACTACCAATTATCGCATGTTTGTTACCAGTCGTCATTCGGAATACTTCGGCTGTGAGGGCGCCAAGAGCGTTTTCAAGGTACGTTTCCTTTGTACTACATGCGTCTTCGAAGCTGCATTTCCTACTCATTATGCTACCGTTTGTCTGGCCAATTCGGTTAAGTAATCTTCAGCACGTCTTTGCATAAGTGTGCTGCCTATTTGAAATTTATACAGCACGTTGAAAAGTTATGGGCCTGCAAATAAAAGTATGGCTGGCTGGGGTAATGCCGAAAACGTGCAATTACGCGCGTTAAAGCACGCTACGTGAACTTTACCGCTGTAGAATAGCAACGCGTATTTTTAGTCACACAAATTACACTTTTAACCGACACAACGGCCTGTTACCATAAGGAATGATTTACCTGGCCTTTTCTTATTATATCACACAATTATATCTTCCAGTGTGCACCAAGCGTCCTCAAGCTCGTAAAACGCGTGTCAGCTTTGACGAATTCTGGATAAAATTTGAGATGAAATCGCAAAACATCAATTTCGGCATTCCCGTAGATCATTTCTCCCATTTTCGGCTTTCCCCGCAGTCCGGGGCAACGCCGAAAAAGTCACTTCTTTGATATTTTTAGTTTGTGCGCTTAACGGTATGCGAATTCATCAAATGCGCCTGGTATGTTTGAAAGGCAAAAGACTTGCCTCTCGAATGACGCCAACAAGAATAGCTTATGTTGTCTACCTTGCGTGCTACGGGCGTCAGAAAAAAAGTATTCGGCGTTCCCCCAACTTCCCCTACACCTTATCATACATCAATTCTACACATGTTGTAAAAATTTCAGACCAAGGTCATTCAAGGTCAGGTCACCAGGTCACTTGAAGTGACCTCACCTCATAAAAAGTTTCAATGTCTGTCATAGCTACACCGAGTGACCGATCGCTTTGAAACTTTCAGCGATTGCTAAGAGCAATAGCATGTACAAAATGTATATCTCAGAATTTTGATATCGATGACCTAAGGTCAGGTCAATTTTGCGACCTCCCCATTATAAGTCAAAATGGGAGAAAATTGAAATGCGCTTCTTTTGGACGAAAGACATTATAAACACTCCCAAACACTGAATTACAAGTGGTTTAGACACACTGAACATGAAAATGGTGTCCGTGACCCCTGTTTATGCCCTGAGGTCATCTTAGGTCACGAATGGTATCTAACAGTTTTTTGCAAATAGCTTTTGATAGAGGCATGCTAGAGCAATGAAAACGCCTTAGATGTGTTCAGCTCGACGATACGGATCGACTGATATGCAGCATGACCCTTTCCGGTCAGGTCATGACCTTGACCTGAGGTCAAATTTCCAAGTTGACCTTTCAAGGTCAAGTTATAGTTCATTCGATGCGTCTTGACGAGAGGAACACGATGCCGGTAAAAGTAAGCTTGTAGAAGGCTTGGGTCAAAAGTTATTGCAGAAAAACGGTTTCCGAAAAAAATCGGCTATTTTTGCAGTTTTTGCCCCCTGCAGGCAAAACCGTTGACGTTAGGTCAAATCTGAGAAAGTTAATCAGAAAGGGCGTTAATAGGGCTATCGAATGCGCTTTTCCGCGGCGCTGTAGCTCTATTGGTTCCCGAGTTATGCGTTGGCTTCTTGGAAATTGTCGACATTCGACCTGGAAATCGGCGAAATTTTGCCTTCAATGACCTCTGGTGACCTGACCTTTGACCTGACCAAAAAATTGACCGAAGTGATTTCCTCATTATTTTTGACGTTCTTTCGAACGCCGCCTTCCGCGTATCGCTACGTGGCCCAGGAGCCGAGAGTTAGAAGGGGGGTGTTCAAACACCCCCCCCCCCCCCCAGCAGGGCGTGGAAATCCAGGACCCCCAGCTGGGCGCGGGTTAATATGGACGCAATTGAGGGTCTTACTAATTGGAGGCTCAGGCGACTTCGATTTTTTGCCCTTACGTAAGACATGAGCGGTTTAATTACTATGTAAGTACCATCTATTTGCGGAAAATAACATATCTGACTGATCAGGGTCACCCCTCCAAAATAAAACTGCCATAGGCGAGCATCTTAGTCTTTCCCAGGGAGCCCATGATCAGCTTCCCTCGGTTCTCCAAGGGAGGTCGAGTTCCCGGTCGGTCGGTCGGTCTCAGTCCATGTGTCGAGGTCCTCCTTCGGTCGGTCTCCGGTGCGCGGTCCCGGTCCGTCCAGGTGGCGCTGAGGTTTGCCGTCGAGTGGTCTAGGCTCCACTGTCGTCTGCAGTCGGGTGGCCCAGGGGGCGCTGAGGTTTGCAGTCGAGTGGCGCTTTCGTCTGCTGTCGCGTGGTCCAGGTGGCGCTGAGGTCTGCGCCGGCCGCTGGCTGTCTGCTGTCGCTAAGACTGGCAATTTTCGGGTCACCTGAGTCTGTGTAGAGGCCGGAGGCGTGCAGAGCGGCTGCCAGGAGGGCGGTAGCGGCGAGCATACAGCGAGCCATCTGAAAGAACAGAGAACGGTTACAGTGGGGAGGACAGGGTGGGTCAACAGCTCTTTCGTGCTGATGTGGCTCAACGAGGGAATAATCTGTCCAAGCCCCGAGGCAATTAATTGTCAGCATGTTCAGCAAGATTATTGACATAAGAGAACGGGGGGAGGGCTAGACATATGTAGCTTTACGAGGCAAAAAGAAGAGTATTACAGGGCGTTGGCAAAGGGTAACACCACTGACGTGGTGTTTCGGGGTCTCCTGTTGATGGTTTTAGAAAACTTGCAGGTCATTTGATGTGCATATAAATTATACGCTGCTATGTGAGCTCAAGAAAATCTTTAAAAATGGCATATAAAAGCTGACAACTTCGAAGCATTAGCGTCAAAGTTTCAATCAAATGACGAACGACTAGTGATTATTGAAGTTATTTTCACGATGACCGAGTGCAGCAATGAACCTAACGGATAACGGGGGCAAAATAAGTGAAACTGGAAAATGAGCCCTCGCAAAATATATCGGTTTAAACATACCTACTCCCAGCCCGAGGGGTTTCTTCGCAACCCCACCCTCTCGTCGTTTCGCCCCGAATTAAGAAACCGCGAGCTTCTCGGAAAAAGCGAGGATGTGCGCCGTGACAAGGCGAAGTGAATAATGAATCCTTTTTAGATATCAGACCAGACGGTGATCTTGGAAGTCAATTCAGCGGCACACATATTGGGGTCCAGTTTTTTGGTGAATAACTTCGTCAAAGATGATCGGGGCAACAGTTTTGGGACAATTGCGTTCTCTTATATCCATGGCAGCGTCGAATGATGTCGTTTTTGCTTGTGAAAAGCAGCTTGGGTACCTAATCATGACCACAGGTCAACGCTAAGCCAAAGCCATACAGGTCAGAGGGCTAGTCGAGGGAGGTCGTGCTGCTAATCGTTCGATTTAGTTAGCAGCTCATTCAGCTGAGAGTTTGATACCATGCACCTTTTCTGATTCTGCAACTTAATTTGATCGGGATCTATTGACAAAAGCTCCAATGGCCCCCAAAAAAAACATTTAAGTGTCATTAGATATAGATATAGATACCTATGGCATGAAAAGCCTAAAAGTCATAACCTATATCCTTAATAAGAAAAGTGCAAATATTAACAAGAAAGGGAAACAAAATAGTGTTTTCGAAGTTACGGTGAGTTATAATTGTGGGTTTCACGACGGCCATATGGTACACATTTGGTACACATTTGGTCAGATTTGCATACGCCAGACAGCCCATCGTGAAAACGGCTCAATTATTTTCTAATGTCACATTTTTTGTATTACCAATTGCATTTATTCCGCAATTTTAGATCAAATTATCTTAATAGCATATATCGCACGACTGTTTCAATTTCAATTAATTTAGTTCTCTTCAGCGGAATATTTTAGTAAAATATTACCAATTGAAATAAGATAAGCTAAAAATGCATTTACGTAATAGGACCCTCTGTTGGGCTTCGTAAAGCTCACTCGGCGCATAGCTGGTGAATTAATCGAGACATATCATGAACACACATTCTTAAGAACTTTAAATCAGTCAGCAGTATCTCTAAATAAAGAGAAGATTTGCTGTTACCAGGAGCATACCTCAACACTTACGATCTAAAACGAAGTTACGATATAAATAATACACGAATGCAGTATCCTGGGCAGCTGATTTTAAAGCTCGATGTAAAGGGCACTGACCAAAGATTTGATGTGAGCGGCGCTTATAACTTATGTAAGCTGTCTTTAATCTTTACGAGCTGCGAGTTTCTTTCAATATCATGCATCAAGACAAAAGATAAAATGAGTGCATATGTACACTGATACACTCATTCTATCAATCATTTATCGATAGATGAATGAGGCTTTCATCTTACCTCTCGGGCAGTAGATTCCAATGCGTCCCTTTGCACAGCGTTATCAGTTCGCTATCGGTCACTGGGACACTGGCGGCACCGGTGCACGACCGTCGGAAGGTGGGATGCTACTGCCTCCCCTCGGGTCGTGACTCTATTTATGTCGGCCGTGACATGAACACCTTTCGCGGCGCCCACCTCAAAGGGGCCGCCCGGTGGACCAGGCGGGACCGCCCCGCCCCCGCCCCCGCCCTCCGGCGCGGCCGACCGACCCTCAGCCGCCACCTTACGCAAAGCGGACCGCCAGCCGGTCCTCATTCAGCCGTCGGTGCCGCATTGTTCGCCGCCGGTCTAGTTTCGACAGGCGGCAGCAGCCGGCGCGAACGGCTGTGTTGGGCGCCCGGTGTCGGTCGCGGGTCATCTCCCTTCAGACGGCAGGCGGGCGACCGTCTCAGTCTGAAGACGAGCTCTGCGTGTCGCGTGGCGCGCAATGGGTCAGGCGTCATGCCCCGGTACCCGCACCCCCCGGCCTTGAAGTCGCAAGAAACACCGCCTGTTGCGGCAAGGGATGCAGCCATTATAAACATGGCATCTGCATTCTGCATACGTTTGACATATTTATTCTGGCATATGACACTGTGTAGTTGAGACGGAGCTGAGAACTCGTTGTTTCGTCTGCATGCTGCAATTCTCATGTGCTATTATAATGAAGATTTGTGAAAACTTAAATATTCAGCCAGGTTAAACCGTAAGGTAGCCTTTTATTGACCACGACACATATGTTTCTTCAGCATGGGAATAAAAGGGGCTGCATCTCATAATATCATCGGTTACTGGCATAAGTGCGCTACAAGTCAGGCTAAGAGTTTTAGGACAATTAAGTGCATTGAAGTTCTGAAAGGATTGATACATTTTAAGTTATATTTGCATATTTTTTACCCTTTTTAACCTTTTTTGAGACATCTTCCCACGCATAAAAACAAATACAATTTTGGTGAACAATTGGTATCAGATCGTACAGGATAGAGTAGCTACGAGTAGGTACACCAATATTCATGCACCTGTTCGGACATTATATGTAGAAACTAGAATGTGACTGCTATACGTCTTTCTGCACCCTGACCAAGAACTATGGGTGTCCGATCGTTCATTTTTCTTAGTGCTTCCTCCTTTGATCGCTAAGCGATCAATATTTCATTTGCGTTGCCGAAGTGCGATCTTTTATTTCACGCTTATCTTTTTTACTGCATTGATGTTCATATTCATATTCATGTATTTGAAACTTCCCGATTAAGGCGGACGATTTCCAGGTTCATAAAAGCCTGAGGACACCAGCTAGCGCAAAAACATGCACAATATGTCTATATATTACCGTCATCTGTCTCTTACTCTCTATCTCTCTCTCTCTCTCTCTCTCTCTCTCTCTCTCTCTCTCTCTCTCTCTCTCTCTCTCTCTCTCTCTCTCTCTCTCTCTCTCTCTCTCTCTCTCTCTCTCTCTCTCTCTCTCCCTCTCTCTCTCTCTCTATCTATCTATCTCTCTTCCTCTTTTCTTTCTTTAATTTGTACATATATTCCTCTATCTCTCTCATTTACTTTTCTTCGTCATTTCCTCTCTTTCTAGGTAACGTTTTTTTACACGCCATATTATTTTCCTTTTTTCACTGTCCGTATATTTGTGAAACAGTTCGTACTACGTTTATTTCTAAAAGCATACCAGCACTGCACTCGACATTAAATGTTAAATGTTAATGCATTCTTTGTATTAAACAGAAAAGGTCATAATATCTTAATGCGAGTATTCTTCGGTAGAGCATGAGCAAGCTTTATGACGCAACTCATCTATAGGTATGTACAATATATGCATCAACTCAGCTATATATGTATAAACGGTAAATGGTGAATGGATATCTTATGCCTTACAGTTATAACAAAAGATACAGGATAACAATGGATAAATATGTTTAACAATTATGCACACGCTGCATCGTATCACATCAATCCATCATTGCTGGATCGCCAACACTCTCCTCTCTTCTTCTCGTGTACTTGTACATCCTCTCTTTGATGTGTACCCTGCACTGCCACCATATTCTGTCGTCATAGGCTCAGTCGCTATCTTCTGACGTCACAGGATCAGTCGTGTCCGCTGCCGTACTGCGGAGTCGCTCAAAAAAAGCCCATCGAGGTGGGGTCGAGCACGCTGAGAGCGCAGCCCGAGTACCTCTGGTGGCAGTCACCGCGCATCTCGCCGAACATGTGCGCCTCCAGGTAGGGCCGGTACTGCTTGTCCAGCCACTTGGCGTGCAGCAGCTCCTCCACGCCGTCCGTGGCGCTGCGGAAGGCACAGGGGAGGAGTGAGAGCAGGGTGAGCACTGAACAGGCTGAGAGCAGGACCGGCAGGGCAACAGGGGCCAGGGGGTTCGTCTGGATCGTGTGTAGTGGAGACGGAAATTGTTTGCTGGAGTGAGCTCGGTAGCTCTGAGACGTTCAAGAGCATTGTCTGTATGTTTGTTTGCAAGTGATGTCGTTTAACAGCAGATTCTGAAGTGACCTGACCTGACCAGCAGGTTGAGGACACTGACCTGAGCAGCAGGTTGAGGGTACTGATCTGAACAGCAGGCTGCAAGGGGCACTAACCTGAGCAGCAGGTTGACCACGTCTCCGAGCACGCCGTCCTCCATGGGCGCCTCAGCCACCTCGCAGATTGCCCGCAGCACGCACTGGAAGCCGTCCTGGCCTTGTCTGCGCGCAGACACGTTAAGTATTAATCATATCAGGTATAGAGGTGATATTAATACAGTTAATAAGTGACACCGGTTTGTGTATTTTAATGACACCGGTGGAGTACGAGGAACATAGCTGAGATGAAGTCGCTATACAACAGCACATCTTTGGGGACGAGGCCATGAGCGGTTCCGTCTTTACAGAGCTGTAAGAGCTCTCTGATGTTTCACGGTCGCCTGTCAATATGAGAGGACCATCCTGTGCAACGAATTTACCGCGAGCTATATTGCGATAGATAGCTTATATGTAGGCACGTATGGATTACAACAGGGATTGCAGGGATTAGGGACCCGATGATATGATGAGCCCATTTAGCTCCCCTCGGAGGCTGTGATTCTCACCTGCCATACATTTTCTCCATCCTCTGGTAGAT